GCCCTGTGTACTTAGAGCGGCACTTCTCGGTGGGCCAGCCAAAGGACAGGACTCGGCAAACAATAGGGACGTAGTTGATCATAGTGAATTGTCTGTTTGGGGGCTTCATCCCCAAATGGACTTCCAATCACATATGTAACCCCAACCACGTCGTCACGGTCCTGTCTCTGTTCAATAATGTAAGGCCCCTTCCAGTGTGGGGCATATTTACGGCGGCTCTTAGTTGGGTCATGAAGCCACACTAAATCCCCAATTTCGTAAGGCCTGTGTCTCTCTCTGGTGTCATAAAAGGTCCTATGTTTGTCACTTGCAGTCACACTGTTATCGCGACTCTGGCGAAAGGCAGCATCCAAACGTCTACGAAGGGAAAAAACAAAATCATCAATAGAGTCATATCTTTGACCAGTCTGCATAATAGGAACCAAAAACACATCCACAGGACCACGAGCCTCCCTACCATGAGTAAGAAAACAGGGCGTAAATCCTGTACTGGAATGAATGCAAACGCAACCTGAGATAAGAACGAGTCCCATTCACCCTCACAAGCAAGTAGCGTTTTGGCCAGCTGATCAATGAGCGTTCTGTTTAGTCTCTCTACCATGCCATCAGATTTAGGATTATAAGGCGTGGTATGTATCCTTTTTTTTTTTTTTATAACTTTTATTTGACACAGAAAAAAATAAATAAAAAACATGTACAAAACAGACATGTAAGGAACCATTCAAAACATCAATGTTCACAATTCGAACCATAGCAACCTTTGTGTTAATTATAGCACACATACCAATTCAGCAGTCACAACTTGTGCAAGTCCTGAGATTTGCAAACGTATACCTTCCATTTGTCCCATTTTTCCTCAAATTTGTCCTCTTTCAGTCTTAGAGCAAATGTAATTTTTTCCATTATATAAATTTCCTGTATGATATCTGTCCACTCAGTCCGGTTGGGGGGCTCAGGTTTAAGCCACCTCCTCGTTATGGCTTTTCTTGCAGCGGTTAACAATATTTTCACCAGGTACTGATCCTGTAAATCAACCACATCAAAAATATTGCCAAGATATAGCACTGCTGGTGTGCAAGGTAAACTATATTGTAGTATGTCAGACAGTGATGAATGTATCCAGTTCCAATAAGGTTTGATCAGTGGGCAGGTCCAGAAGATGTGTGTGTGATTTGCATCAGCAGTACCACAATGTCTCCAACACATCTGCTGGTTAGCAAGCTGCCTGCTTTTTATATGGGGTGTAATAAAAAAACGAATAACATTTTTCCAATTGAATTCTCTCCACTTTGGAGAAGTGGTAGATGACTGAGCCAGCTCACAAATTCTGTACCAGTCCTGATCTGAAATGGTAATGGCCATCTCCTTCCCCCACTTCTCTTTGACATACAATGTTGCGTCATTCTGACTGGCCATCAGACTTGTGTATAATTTTGAGACTATCTTTTTTGTTTTTTGTTGATATGCACCAATTATAGTTTCCAAAACTGGATTTATGTCCGTTTTGTTTCTGATTTCTTTATTAAAATATTCACGTATTTGTAGATAGCGAAAAAAATCTTGATTGGCCAGACCAAATGTCGCTTTTAAATCCTGAAAGCTTCTCATCTCATTGTTTTTAGTAACTGTGAGGAAGGAAGTGACACCCTTATGGATCCAGCTTTTGAATGTTATATCATGCTTTGCCGCTTTGAAATTGCTATCTAAATATATCCATCTTAATACTTTTCTTTGTGACTTCAGTTTCAATTGTCTTGCGATTTTGTACCAAGTGTCAATTGTGAATATTGTCACTGGACTAAGTTGAGCTTTAATATCACTAGGTATGTCATCTTCTCCCAGCACAGTTTGAATATGGTATTTGGGTAAACATGTTTCGATCTCTTTCCACTTAGAATAGTACACAGGATCACACCAACAGCATAAATATCGCAATTGAGCAGCATAAAAATACAACCTCAAATTGGGGAGGGCCATGCCGCCCTGTGCTTTAGTCAGCTGTAGCGTTGAGTACCTGACTCTTGCCTTCTTTCCGTCCCAAATGAATCTGGATATCATTCGATCCCATTCTATGAATTGTTTAGCAGGTATGTCTACAGGGAGCGACTGGAATAGGTAGAGCAATCTTGGCAGAGTGTTCATTTTTATCACATCTATCCTATTTGTGAAATCTAAGGGATAAGTGGACCATCTTTGAATATCTGATTTTATGTTTTGATTGATTGGATTAAAATTAGCCTCATACAAGCGTGATGGATCCTTTGTCAAAAACACTCCTAGATACTTCATTTTTTTACTATCCCACTTTATTTTGTATTCCTGCATAATTTCTTGTGAGGGTTTGTGGTTGAAAATTAGAATTTGGGTTTTAAGAATGTTTAAGTTGTATCCAGCATGAGAGGCAAATGTGCCTAAGAGGTTCATTAGTTTATGTAGGGAGGTGTTAATGTCTTTAATGAATAGTAGCACATCATCTGCAAATAATCCTATCTTTTGTTCTCTGTCATTAATCTTAATGCCTTTCAGATCCTCAGCCTGGCGTATAGCCTGGGCCAGAGGCTCCATGTAAAGGGCAAAGAGAGTGGGGCTGATTCCGCAGCCCTGTCTCGTGCCCCGTTGCAGTTCAAATCTGTCTGTCAGAGATCCATTTACTTTGATTCTTGCAGTCGGCCGGTCATAGATTGATCTGATACATTTGATCGAGTCTTGGTTTAGGCCAAATTTCTCTAATGTTTGATACAGGAATTCCCAATTCACACGATCGAAAGCCTTTTCAGCATCAAGGCTGATTAAAGCTGCTTTCAGTTTATGTTTAGATATAGTGTGAATTATATGCAAACTACGTCTGATATTATCCTGAGTTTGTCTTCCTGCCACAAAGCCAGTCTGATCTTCATCAATCAGATCTGTCATGAAGGTTTCAAATCTTTTTGTAAGAATCGATGTATATAATTTGTAATCCACATTCAACATTGATATAGGCCTATAATTGGCACAATTTTCCCGGTCTTTATTTTCTTTTGGGATTAAAGTAATGATTGCGTCTTTCCAGGAGGGAGGAGTGTGACCGTGTTTGTGGACATAGTTAATGGCTCGGAGAAGAACTGGGGACAACTCTTCCTTAAACTTTCTGTACCACTCTATGGGGAAACCATCACTACCTGGGGCCTTATTCGTTTTTGCTCTGCTTATTGCCTTATCAATGTCTTTTTGAGTTATTTGTGCTGTAATCGTTTTGTTTTGGGTCTCACCAATGCAGGGAAGGTCCAATTTATCCAGAAATTCTTTGGTTGAAACTTTATCGTGAGCGCCCTCTTGTGAGTACAGGCTGTTATAGTATTGAAAAAATGTACTTTCTATTTTTTGAGGGTCTGTCTGTAATTCTTGTGAAATAGGGTCTCTAATTTTTGTAATTGTTGAATCTGACTGCTGTTTACGAAGTTTTCTAGCAAGTAATTTTGTAGATTTTGGGCCAAGTTCGTAATAAGACTGTTTTGTGTATCTAGCCTTTTTTTCAACCTCGTAATCTAAATGTCTTTCTATTTGTAATTTCAAATTCTTTATTTCTTTTAGGGACTCTGGATCTTTCTTAAATTTTAGTTTGTGTTCTTGGTCCTTCAAGTTACCCAATAATTTGGTATATTGTTCAATTCGCTTTTTTCTTTTGGAACGCTGCTATGGCTATTAATTTTCCCCTCAGGAATGCTTTTAATGAGTCCCACAATATTAATGGATCAACCTGGCCATTGTCATTATCCTCAATAAAGGTTTTTATCTCGTTTTTAATACAATCAACAGTGGCCTTGTTGTTAAGCAGCCCCACATTCAGTCTCCAAACCGTGCTCTTTGGCCTGTTCTCCAGGTTTATAGTTAAATAGATAGAGTTGTGATCAGAGACATCTGCTACTCCGATTCTACATTCAGTTACTCTGTATTGATCTTCTTGTCCCATTAGAAAGTAATCTATTCTGGAGTGTACCGCATGGGGTACAGAGTAATGCGTGTAGTCTCTATCAAGAGGATGAAGTTTTCTCCATACATCTACCATACCTATTTCTCCAAGAGTGGCACAGAGTTGCTTTGTTAACTTTTTCTTGCTCCTGTTTTTACTAGTGGTATCCATGTTTAAATCCAGCACTGCATTGAAATCACCTCCACATATACAAATTCCTTCAGTCTCCTTTGTTACAATATCAAACATTACTTTATAGAAACCTCTGTCAATTTCGGGAGGAGCATAAATGTTTACCAATGTTATAAGGCTGTTTCCAATGGTGCCTTTTATCAAGACATATCGGCCCTCTTTATCCTTCACTTCAGTCTTTTTTTCAAAATTGATTTTTTTGGAAATAAGTATTGCTACTCCTCTTCTATGACTTTGTGAGAATGAACTGTAAAATATATCTCTATATCCAAATTTAACTAATTTATCATGCTCTTTGTCACTCAGGTGTGTTTCCTGAAGCAGAATAATGTGTGCATCATCTTTTTTTAACTTATTCATTACCCTTGCTCTTTTAACAGCATTTCCTAACCCATTAACATTTAGAGACAAGATTTTCAATGTTTGACTCTGCATTGGTTTAGTAAGAATTTAACTGCATGGTTGCTGGTCATTTTTAACAAACAAAAAACATAAAACAAGAACATGGCCATAAAGAACATAGGTTGTGTGGCTCCTAAACAAAAATAAAGTAACAACAAATTTTGAATTCCAAGGTAGGGCGTTTCAGTACCCTCACTAAAACCTACAGGCGGGGGGGAAAACCTCCCTGAGAAAGAGGGCCCCCTTCCAGAACAGTGGCTGACCCCTTTAAAAGTACTACCACTAATTCTGCCATTGGTATCAGGCCAATTAGATTACAAAAAGATGACAGTCCAAGCTTGATTAACATTTCAGTCAAATAAAGTGGAATACTGAGGAATACTAAAACACACAGCGTGTACCAGTTACCCTTGGAGACATCATCGAGTTCCTCTTTTTGAAGACTGCTCCGGGCTCATTGTCTGGGTTTACGCTGAAACTCCTGCAGTCGTTCTCGTGCGCGTTTCGCTGCCTCCCTCTCCCAGTGTCGGTGGGTGCGCTCCACGCGATGCCAAGGTGATGTCTGCTCCAGTTGTTGTGATGTTATTGGGCCCTCCGAAACGTGCTCTTCTGTGTGGCCAGCAAAGAAGCCCCTTTTGCGTAGTTCTCTCTCGGCGTCTCCCGCACTGTTGTACATCTGCGGTCCACTGTCCCAGTGGATTCGCATCCGGGTGAATGGAGTCTGAAAGCGGACACCTCTCTCCTTCAGTGCGGCTTTGATGGCTTTATATTCCTTACGTTTCTGAATCACGTCGGTGGTGTAATCAAAGTCAAATGAAAGGATCCTGTCGCCGATCTGGATTTTCTTTTTCCAAGCGTTTCTGAGGATTGTCTTTTACTTTGAACTGAAGGAAGTTCACTACTATGGATCTTGGCGGAGCGTTGGGGTTCGGTCTCGGTGCGAGCGACCGGTGTGCTCGTTGTATCTGTGGATCTGTTCCTCCACTGATTAGCTTTTCATTAGCTAGCAGCCCCTCCACGAACTGAATCACCGAGCTCCCCTCGGCTCCTTCAGGCACCCCGTAGATTCTCATATTGTTCCTTCTCGACCTAGATTCCAAGTCGTTCACTTTATCCTGTAGCGCACTTTGCTCTTTTAGAGACCGGCTCAGCGCCTCGTTAGCCACCGCGGCCCAAGTCTCCTGCTCGTCAATGCGTGCAGCCATTTCCTCCAGCTTCTGCTCATGATCTTGTAGCTTTAGCGAAGTGGTGGCTAACTGCTGGTCAATCTGTATCTTAAACTGTGCAAACTCGTCTTTCATCTCCTTTTTGAAGTCTTCCTTGAACGTTGTCCAGTTTGCATTAAGCGTCGTGTTTAAAGACATAATTTGTTCGCTTATGTGGTTAAGTAACTGGCTTCTTTCAGTCGAGTCATGGTCATACGCGCTAGCATGAGCATTAGCATTGCCTGCGTCTTCTTCACTTACGACTTCTGGTGCCCTGTTGTCCACTTTTTTGGTATTCTTTTCTGCCATCGCTTTTATCTTAGATTTACCCTCGTTCACAATCGATATTTGCAAATAATAGAAGTGTTGAAGATGAATTAAAAGGGTTTAACAGCCTGATTTGACGGAGCGCTCAGTTCAAGCGTGCTGCATCCTCCATTGCTCCGGTATGTATCCTTTTAACACCCAACAATGTACACAACTGCCTAACCACGTCTGACTCAAACTGTCGCCCCATGTCAGTATGAAGGGTCTCCATAACACCATGCTCCAAGATGAAATTGTTAAAGAGACACTCTGCCACGGTAGTAGCCCTCTGGTCCACAATAGCATACATGTTAACGAACTTGGTGAAATAGTCTTCCACCACCAGAACATAGCGGTTTCCTCTCGACGTGATCGGCAACTTCAATATGTCTGCCGCAACCCGCTGAAACGGGCGCTGTGCAAACGTCGTCCGCATCGGAGCACGATGGTGAGGCACATGCGCCTTGCGCCTCTGACAGGCATAACACTGCTCACTGTCACGATACATACAAGGCCAGAAGCACACCCCGCGTACACGGGCCATGGTCCGCTCCACAGCCAAATGGCCAGTCAAGGGCCCACCATGAAGAAGACGCAGGACCTCCGGCACCAGAACCGATGGTACGACAACCTGCCATGTCTGTTCCACATCAGACAGGGCAACAACCCTGTGCACAATTCCGTCAATCATAGTCATGCGAGGAAACTCGTGCCACAAAATACGGAGAGCCTTACCAGCCCCTTTAATCCTCACTGAGGACGGCCTCTCACCCGCTCTAAGCCACTCCAACAGAGATCGAATATCTGGGTCCTCTTGCTGCAGACGCCTTATGTTGGAGCCTTCCTGAAAGAGGGTTTGTAGGTCACTCCCGTCAGGGGGTACTGAGGGCTCACAAGAATCCGATGCCTGAGCACTTAGGGGAGCCTCCGTAGAAGCTTCGACCCCACATACAGCCACCGAAGTTGACATATCCATAGTCTGCGTCGCAGAGCTCACCATGATTATCTGGGACACAGGACAGCGAGACAACGCGTTGGCATTAGTATGCTGGACCCCACTCAAATGACTCTTGGCATTCTTCTGACCAGCTAAATGGAACGTTTTTCCCCGTGAGATGGATGAGAGGGGAGGCATGTTGTGCAAAACCTCTCACAAACCTCCTATAATACGAGCAGAGACCAAGGAAGGCACGAACTTCAGTGGCAGAACGAGGAATAGGCCAGTCTCTCACCTTACATGTGTTCCTTGGGTCAGGCCGCAGCCCCTCAGCCGAGACAACATGCCCCAGGAACGCTACATGGTCACGAGCCATTTGACATTTCTTAGCCTTCAATCGCAGGCCAGCCGCACCAATCCTCAAAAGAACTTGCTCCAAGGCTGCAACGTGCTCACTGAACGACCTGCTAAAAATCAGAATGTCATCCAGATAAATCATACAAATATGCCAGGGAAGCCCCTTCAAGACCAGCTCCATGAATCTCTGGAAGGTAGCCGGAGCATTAGTGAGACCCATTGGCATAGACCGAAACTGATACAAACCATGGCCGGTGTTAAAGGCTGTTTTCTCACGGTCTTCCTCAGCGACTTCCACCCGCCAGTACCCATCTGAAAAGTCCAGTGTGCTGAACCATGTAGCCCCTGCCAAGGCATCTAATGTGTCATCTACCCGAGGCAATGGGTGTGAATCTCTCACCGTGACCGCATTCAGACCCCTGTAGTCCACACAAAACCTCCATGTGTTGTCCTTCTTCCTCACAAGCACCACAGGAGAGGACCACGGGCTACAACTTTGCTCAATGACCCCATCTGCCAGGAGTCGCTGCACCTGCCTGTCGATCTCCCTCCATTTGTCAGGGGACTTCTTGTAAGCCCTCTTACGAACGGGGAGGCTACCGTTTGTGTTAATGTGGTGTTTTATCACACCCGTAGCCTTAGTGAATCCACCCCCAGTACGGAAAACATTACAGTGTCTCTTTAACAATTCACTGAGTTGCTGCCTTTGATCATCTGTGAGGTAACAGTCCCCTAAGGTAGAGTCACTGGCTTAGCGTCAGGGTCAACACCGTCCGTCGGCTCAAAAACGTCACTGTTATCGACATGATGAAGGACCCCCAAATGCGAACCGGAATGCATCCTCAACTCATGGTCAGTGGGATTAAGTAACCGCGCAACAGTGAGTCCATCCTTAACCGGAGCCACTGTACGTGCAACCACTAATTCCATTGAATCCCAAGTCTCAGGGTCCATTTACCCGATATAGAAATCAGTGTGCGGCTCCATGGAGCGCGGAGCCTCCACCTGCACAGGGACAACCATTTCACAGAAAGGAGGAATGATGACATTTGTGGACATAGTGATATTACAGCATCTTGGAATAAGGTCATTAGCATGTAACAATGGTATAACCACTCCCCCCAGGTGCAATACACTATGTCCCACGTCAAGAACAGCATGAAACTCTGACAAAAAATCAAAACCCAGCAAAACTCGTGTTGCCCCTCTTACAACATGCACCATCTGCTCCACATACATTCCCCCCAAATACATGGGAACAGTCATCGTGCCAAGTGCGTCCAATAATTGTCCGTTGACAGCATGAGCAAAGATGTAATCGTTACTCAATACACGTTTACGCAAAGCAGGGACTGACATTTTAAATTCTTCTGTGATTAATGACACGTTAGAACCAGAGTCAATGAGTATAGGAACATCCACTCCCTCAATGGATCCCCTGATATATAATGTACACTTGGACTCACCCACAGCACAGCAGTCCATAGAGGAAGATTCAATCTCCGCCGTGGAATGTCCACCGCGACCCTGAGAATGCGAAACTGGCGGTCGGGCCTCACCTCCAGTTACTGGTCGTTTCCCGCCGAGAAGGTGAACGCCGAGCGGGTGACAGAAATCTCACACCGCGTCTCCACTCTGGCTCCACGGAGAAACGTCCTCTCCGGGGAGTCTCGTCCTCTTCACGGCGGTAAGGGTAATCAGGCGCCGCGCCCCGATCCTCCTGTGCCTGTGGGGACCACTCCCGGGTATTCCTGGATCCGTATCGCAGTGCAAGACCATTGCACATTGCAGCCGGGTCCGCTCTGTAGACCCACACCCAGGGCCATTCTAGCCCGCTTGCATCGACCCGCTATCATCAGTGCTTCCTTCAAGTCAGTTGCGCCCTGTTCGTGGCATTTGGCCCGCAGCCCAGGGTCAAGTCCAGCCAGAAAGCGACGGAACTTCTCACCATTCTGTGCCATTTTGTCATACTCCGGGAAAGCTTCAGCAATGAGCCGGGAAAGGTCCGCAGCGTACAGCTCCAGGCTTTCGCTCGCCCCACGGGGACGAGCCGAGACGCACGTCTGAAAATACAGCAAAAACTGTTTCTGTCCAAAAGCCTTATTGAGTTTTTCCTTCACCCGTTCAAAATCACACTGCACAGACGAGGGCAGGCTGTCCCACAACAGAAACGCTGCACCATCCAGCCGGGTGGGCAGCAGAGCGGTTAAGGACGCAGCATAGCTTCTCCCATCACCCCGGGTCTGAGCGCGGACCGCCGCTTCGAACTGCTTAATCCAGGTAGCAAAAAGTTTACGTCAATCTCCACAAAATGCTGCAGGTAGGTCCACTCTGACATTGCACACCCCCTGGGTCCACGGAGGTACGTACTTGCATTCATCCTCAGCCAAACTGGTGTCAGATCCATGAAAATTTCCAAACATAGTTCACCAAATAACGCCAACTGCAATTCCCGAGTAGAACCGAAGGAACGTCCAGCCAACACCGCTGCCACCAATGTAACGGGCAAGCTGGGTAGGAAGCAGAGGCAGAAGTATCTTGTTCCAGTCAATCTTCCAGTCAGTCAATCTAAAAAAGTATCAATGTTCCAGTCGACTTAAAAACAGTTTCATTCACAAGGCCATCAGGAAGCTGAACTCCCTGCCCTCCCTCCCACCCCTCTTCCCCCACCCCCCGCTCCACAATCAAGGATGAGAGAAATATAATTTCAAACCATTCACTTGGTTTGACAAATGAAAGGTTGGGATGGGATGGAGCGGCTGGGATTAGAATCAGCACCTCCAAATCCGAGCCATGGTGCTCGACCGGAAAAAGGTGCCGTGCCCTCTCCAAGTGGGTGGAGATATTCTTGTTCAAGTATCTCGGGGTCTCGTTCACGAGTGAGGGAAGGATGGAGCGTAATATTGACAGGCGGATCGGTGCAGCGTGCGCAGTGATGCGGTCGCTGTATCGGACCGTTGTGGTAAAGAAAACTGAACTGAACTGAAAGGCAAAGCTCTCGATTTACCGGTCAATCTTCGTTCCCTCCCTCACCTATGGTCATCGCGGATACAAGCGGAATGAGCTTCCTTTGCACAGTGGCTGGGGACATGCTGGAGGGACTATGTCTCTCAGCTGGCCTGGGAACGCCTTGGGGTCCCTCCAGACGAGCTGGAGGAAGTGTGTAAGGATAGGGAAGTCTGGGCGTCTCTGCTTAGACTGCTGCCCCCGCGATCCAGCAACGGATGGACGGATGGGTAAACATCATTTGTAAGTTTAAGTAGTGCCTTAGTAGTTGAGTAGCCAGACTGGAAGCCTGACTGATGGGGAGATAAGATGTTAAAGTTACAGTTGGCGGAAAATTATCTTTTCCATTATTTTAGTGATAGTGCATATAATAGAGATGGGCCAATAGTGACTTAAATCGGAGCGGTCTCCACCTTTAAAGATGGGAGTAACCCGTGCAGTTTTCCAGATGAGAGGGACAGAGCACGAACTTAGTGACAGGTAAAAAAGGTCGGTTGGTGGATAGATAAGCACTCTGGATCCCAATAAAAGTTCTATTTTCATATGTTGCTTCGCCCTTTAGGCTTCGCTAATGCATATCTCTCGGAAGCATCGCTTCCCGCCCTGAGAAGATCAAACGATCCACCCTCCAATCACCTTCACGTCCTGGCGTAGGCCAGTCCCCTATAAATAGGGCCATGCACCACAGCTCTTCTCCTTTCTCTCTCAGCTTGCCTAAGAGAAGCTTCGATTCATTTGCTAGGATGTCTTCAAGCAAGATCCCCGCGCCTGAGAACTTGCCACCCTCCGGTGTCAGGCTGTGGATCTGCGACTTGTGCCTAGCGGCACTCTCCAGACTGACCGCCACGAGTCCAGCGTCTCTGCCTGGGCTGGCGTCGTGCCGCGGGAGAAAGTCCCCAGATGTTGCGGCTTGTCTCGCCTTGGATTATTTATGCCGTATAGAGTCGTGCCCTTGGTGGCATCGCTCATGGTGTGCTACCCTCTATCCACGCCTCTAGCTAATACAATCTCCACAGAAAGATGTCCTAAAGCTTAAACACATCAACTTTGTGCTCGCTTCATCCCTGAGTGGTGGCCCATTGGTGGCTCTCTCCAAGGTGTGCTACGTTCGCTCACGCTGGACATGGCGTAAATAACTACTGCATGCCACAGATTGTTGCCTAATTACATCCACTCTCAGGTGCCCCATGGTGCTCGCTCCCAGGGTGTGCCTGCTGCTTCACTATATTCCAGCCGCGTAGGGGATAGGCCCCATGACAGCCCATTTCCCCGGCGCTAGCGTATTGAGTATACGCGGTGGCGGAGGTCCTGGCCTATGGCGGTTCAGAGGCTTTCTCTCTCATATGAGGATGGAGTATCCCTGTACACCAGCCCCCCCCCCTCTCCCCCCGATCGGGGCAAGCCGGGCCGTGTCCATAACTTGACAGGTGTTAGGCTTGTGCATCATAGGTCGTTGCTATGGCTTATAACATTACTCTCCGCTTTGCCACCCCGCACCGCTCAGAGCCAAGAGGAGACAGCAAGCGCGTGACAAGCAGAGGAGCAGCAGCCACCCCGGCTTTGCAGCTGCAAGGAGGGGAGGGAAACGCTTAAATAAAGGCCGACATCAGGCCCGTTACTCCTCAAAGAGAACACTTCTTTCCCCTTTTCCTTATCCTCAGCGCTTGGTCAACGCTGCTCATCTGCCAAGTGCCTGGAGCCTCTCTCAGCGCGCCTCTCGTGCGCGCGCTGGAGGCATGCTCCGGGCCGCTGTGTGCTCCCCGTGCCTTTGCCTCTCTTGGGCAGAGAGTGCGCGGCTGCACGCTACCCTCCTACGCTCTCTGTGCGCCACGAGCGCCAGCTCACAGCTGTCCTGCCCTCACGCTGCTAACCGGTAAAAGCCAGGGCCGCAGCTAGGGCTCAGACCTTTTTCCAGCGGCCCCCCACTATCCAGAGCAATGAGTGGTACTGCTCCCCCCCCCCTCCTCAGTCCACAGTGTTGGGGAGCGGGGGCTCGGCTCCACGTAAGCGCAGCACACCTGCCCTCACGTGGCCACCCAGAAAAAGGAACCAGGGCCGCAGCTAGGGCCCAGCCCTCTTCCCAGGGGCCCCCCACTGCAAAAAGTGGGACTGCTCGGCCCCCTATCAGTCCATAGTGTTGGAGAGCGGGGGCTCGGCTCCACGCGGCCACCCGGAGAAGGGCCGTGGGCCGCAGCTAGGGCCCAGCCCTCTTCCCAGGGGCCCCCCCCCACCTGCAAAAAGTGGGACTGCTCGGCCCCCTCTCAGTCCACCTGTTGTGGAGCGGGGGCTCGGCTTCACGTAAGCGCACAGCACACCTGCCCTCACGCGGCCACCTGCCCTCACGCGGCCACCTGCCCTCACGCGGCCACCTGCCCTCACGCGGCCACCTGGAAAAAAGGCCCAGGGCCGCAGCTAGGGCCAAGCCCTCTTCCCAGGGGCCCCCCACTGTAATAAGTGGGACTGCTCGGCCCCCTCTCAGTCCACAGTGTTGGGGAGCTGGGGCCCGGCTCCACGTAAGCGCAGCACACCTGCCCTCACGCAGACACCCGGAAAAGGGCCTAGGGCCGCAGCTAGGGCCCAGCCCTCTTCCCAGGGGCCTCCCACTGCAATAAGTGGGGCTGCTCGGCCCCATCTTAGTCCACAATGTTGGGGAGCAGGGGCTCGGCTCCACGTAAGCGCAGAACACCCGCCGTCACGCGGCCACCCGGGAAAAGGCCCAGGGCCGCAGCTAGGGCCCAGCCCTCTTTCAAGGGGCCCCCCACTGCAATAAGTGGGACTGCTCTGGCCCCCTCTTAGTCCACAGTGTTGGGGGGCAGGGGCTCGGCTCCACGTAAGTGCAGCACACCTGCCCTCACGCGGCCACCCAGAGAATGGCCCAGGGCCGTAGCTAGGGCTCAGGACTTTTTCCCACGGGCCCCCCACTATCCGATGCCTCCCCAGGATGGGACATCTGTGGGCGGACCAGGCCTTTCTCCCTCCTCCCATCTCGCTGTGCTTCCCTTGACCCATGTTGTCACCGTATCGGAACAGTCGGGGCTCCGGGGAACTCTGTGGATACACAGAGTGCTGAGTCGGGGCTATGCTCTCCAGTTCTCCTGGCGGCCCCCTCCTTTCTGCGGCATTCTCCAGACAGGGCTAGGCAGCCCGAAGAACGCCGTGGCGCTTCACAGGGAGGTCAACACGCTTCTGCAGCACCGGGCGGTAGTGGAGGTAGACCCGCTCAGGACAGGGACAGGGTTTTACTCTCCATACTTCATAGTCCCCAAAAAAAAATTAAAACAAATTAAATAAATAAAAGTGCGGAGGGGTGCGGGCCATGCTGGACCTGCTCGTCCTCAATGGGCTGCATAGCCAAGCGACTGTTTCGGATGCCCACAGTAAACAGCTACTCCTGAGCGTCAGGCCCGGGGACTGGAGGTCCTCCGTGGACCTCAAGTACGCGAATTTTCACAAACCCATTGCACAGGGGCACAAGAAGTTCCTCCGGTCCCCCACTCGGCTACTCCCTAGCCCCCCCGCACCTTCTCCAAGTGTGTGGAGGCGGCGCTAGAACCCCTTCGGCGGTCAGGGCCTCAGGACAACTGACGTATATCAACGAATGGTGATCCCGGAAGGATGCACATGATCAAACGTCCAGAGTGTTAAACCACGTGCCCACCTAGGGTTTGTGATCAATAGGGACAAAAGCTCCCTGTGCCCGCCCAGGAGATCTCGTATCTGGGACTGGGCTTGAATTCCAGGAGCATGACGGGCTTCACTCTCGCCAGAGAGAGAAGCGGCGGTTCAGAACCTGGGCTGGATCGTTCTGGGTGAACCTCGGGTGCAACCGCGGCAGATCCAGTCACTCTTGGGCATGATGGCAGCGGCCCATCCAGTGGTGAGACTGGGGGTTGCTGCACATGCGATATCTCCAGAGGTGGTTCTCACACCTCAGGGGCACACCCAGGTCGACTCCAGGAGGGAGTTCGAATGGGTGTTGTGGACAACCACATTGAGGTCTTCACGGACGCCTCACTGAGTGGTTGGGGAGGCGTGCTCGGCCACCACTCGACAGGAGGCGTTTGGTCCTCCCCCTTGGGGCACATCAACCTCCTGGAGTTGGAGGCGATGCGGTTGGTTGCTGGCCCATTTAATAACCAGACTGGAGGGCCGAACAGGTGATTGTTCTGGACGGACAACACCACTGTGGCAGCATACCTGAACAGGCATGGGGGGACCCAGGTCCCCCGCCTTCACAGGCTGGCAGTGGAGGTTCTTCTGTTGGCGGACATTCACCTAGCCTCTCTGAGGGCCCGTCACCACCCAGGCGAGCGTAACGTGGCCGCCGACAGGATGTCCAAGGGCGGGGCCTTGCGAGACGAGTGGGGTCTCGCCCCAGCGGCCGTGGCAGAGGTCTGGCTCCGGTTCGGGACATACCGGTGGCCGACTTTTTCCAAATGCAGAGAACGCACAGTGCCCACTCTGGTTCTCGCTCAGGTCCCAGCAACGAGCCCCCTCTCGGGGTGGACGCCATGGCGCACCGGTCCGTGGCCCAACAATCTCCTCTAGCCTTCCCGCCGCCTCGCCGGCTCTTGGCAGCCCTGCTTTACAGGGTGAGGACAGAGGGGTCTCCATCCTGGTGGTGGCGCCGGACAGCCCGGGAGCCAGGTGCTATCTGGACCTGGTGAGCATGGCGCTCAGTCCGCCTTGGCCCGTTCCGGACCGTCCTGATGCTCTGAGACAGGCAGGGGGGAGCCCTTTACACACGCCCTGTCCTGGGAAGCAGGCTCATGTTGAGCCTTGGTCTCCCTCCCTCAGTGGTCGCTACTATTCAGGGTGGGAGGGCTACATCCACCACCAAAGCGTATGAGGTTCGCTGGAAACTCTTCGCCTCTTGATGCGTGGACAGATGTTGGACCCCACCTAGTGTTCCATCCAGGAGGTCTTGGCTTTTCTCCACTTCTTGCTGGAGAAATGGAAGGGCGGCCGCCACTCTGGGTGTGTTCGCGGCGGCCATTACCCACAGGGCACGTGGGGTTTGGTAGCCACTCTGCGCGTGGTTCCTACGAGGGGCCCGCAGGATCAGGCCTCCCCTCTGGCGGTCGGCTCCGTCTTGGGACCTTCAGGTGGTCTTGGCTGGCCTTTCAGGGCCTCCATTTTGAACCCCTGGACAATGCGACCATTGCCATGATTGTCCCTACAAAACGGCATTGTTGTGGGCGTGGGCTTCGGCCAAGAGGTCTGGGGATCTGTGCGCCTTTTCCGTGCAGCCATCTTGTTTGTCCCTCCCCGATCGGGAGGGCATGATGGACATGGCACTTCGGTGGAGGAGATCTGTAGAGCGGCGACTTTTGTGCAGTTTTTACCTACTGGAGATGGCCTCTGACTCTGTGGCTCATTCGGTTTTGAGTGCAGGGCCGCCCTAGTTCCTCCTTCGACAGACCTCGTGAGAACTGGTCTGCAGGGGGGGTTGTGTGGAGAGGTGTTGGCGCTCTTGGAGAGGCGGCCGGGACACCTCTGCAGTAAGGATAGGCGCTCTTGGGAGAGGCGGCCTAGGCCCTTCTGCAGTCTGCTTTACACTCCTGGGGATCTAGTCAGCGCGCTCTTGGGAGAGGCTGCCTGCCTCAGGTTTGTTCTGATTTCTTTCCTGCTTTGCAGGTTGGAGAATGCGCGGGCACTCTTGGGAGAGGTTGCCCAGCATCCCTTTCTCTATGACTCGTAGGACCTCCGTCTCTACCGCTTGGTTGCGGTGATGAGCACGTGGGTCACGAGTTTGCTCCAATCATTGGAGTTCATGCTGCTGGGAGTACATCGTCTGGGCTTGCTTCGCTATGTTATGCATTAGCGAAGCCTAAAGGGCGAAGCAACATATGAAATAGAAACCCCAGTTACCTAATGTAACTAAGGTTCTATAAAATATGTTGCGAAGCCCTATAGCTTCGAGCCCAGCAGGCCTGCCCTCTCTTAAATTCGGCTGAGTTCGAAAGGAGAAGAGCTGTGGTGCATGGCCCTATTTATAGGGGACTGGCCCTACGCCAGGACGTGAAGGTGATTGGAGGGTGGATCGTTTGATCTTCTCAGGGCGGGAAGCGATGCTTCCGAGAGATATGCATTAGCGAAGCCTAAAGGGCTTCGCAACATATTCATAGAACCTTAGTTACATTAGGTAACTGGGGTTTATTTTACTTCTAAGCCGTCTGGACCATTGTTTGTTTTTAAGCTCGTTTATAGCTTGTATTGCATCCGAATGTGAAACTCTGATTAAAAGAAAATGATGTCCTCATGAACGTCATTTAGTGGAATAGGTAAGTATGGATGACCAGAGTGCTGTGTGCTACTTATGTAAGTAAGTAAGTACTTACAGATTCAGATTCAGATTCAGTTTATTTGCCATTTGCAGTAAAAAAACCACATTGGAATACATTAGCAAAAGTCTCCAGTGTGCACAGACAAATACAGACATAAAACAACATTAAAAGACAAAAATAAAACAAATAAAAGCAGTAAACAAATGTCACTGTGAAATCGATCGACTAAAACAGTTTCAAAACAAGTGCAAATCATTAAAGTGCTCTGTTCACACTGAAAACATCCTTTTGTGGAATAAAAACTGTTAGCGTAACGAGATGCTCTGCATCTCAGAGAGCGATATCTTCTGCCAGAGGGAAGAAGCTGGAACATGGCTTTTCCAGGGTGGCCAGAAGAGTCATTGACAATCCTAAGAGCTTTGTTTAAAAGTCTGGATTTATAAAGAACCTCCAGAACAGGAAGCTCACAGCCCACGGTCCTCTTTGCAGAGCGGAGCACCTTGTTTAAAGATCTCTTTTCTTTATCTGTGATGTTTCCAAACCACACAGACACAGAACTAACAAGTAAACTCTCAATGGTGCGGCGATAAAAGTTAAGCAGAATCTTAGAGTTAGTGGTAAATTCTCCAAGTTTACGCAGAAAGTAGAGACGCTGACAAGCTTTCTTAACGACTCGGTTAGTGTTTTTAACCCATTTTAGGTCGTTAGACGGAGTTAAACCCAGAAACTTGCACTCCTCTACGATCTGCACCTGGGAGTTGTCGATTACGACAGGCAAATGAGAACTATTGCGACTGAAGTCGTAGACCAGTTCACATGTTTTCGATGCGTTCAACTGGAGGTTGTTAGTTTTACTCCACTGAACCACATTTTGTATCTCTGCTCTAAAAGAGGATTCATCATTGTCACTGATGAGACCGATGATGGTGGTGTCATCAGCATATTTGATGATCAAGTTTGAGTCAGAGGAGGACACACAATCGTGAGTGTACAAAGTAAAAAGCAAAGGACTCAAAATACATCCCTGAGGAGAACCAGTGCTCACAGAAACAACATCAGAAAAACAGTCATTGATTTTCACTCTCTGAGATCTGTCAGTTAAAAAGCTAAAAATCCATTTACACATGGCAACACTTAAACCGAGAGACATGAGCTTTTCAATCAGTTTACCTGGGACAAGGCTTACTTACTTACTTACTACTTATGGAGGAGAAATAATCATTAAAGCAAGTTAAGATCGACAATTGTAGTGGTATTAACAGTAACATGATTGGTTGAGATTCTTTTGGACCGACCCAGAAGCTGGTCCAGGTGTTTCCAAAGTGGTTTAGGATTATTGTAGTTCAGACCGAGGGCTTCCTTATAGTAATTGGACTTGGCATTTGGGTTTGGGTTTTGGATTGATTCCCGAGTTGTCTATAGATCTCCCAGTCGTTAGGGTCCTTAGACTCTCTGTATTTAGTCCAAGCTTGGTCTCGACGTTTAAAAAGATTAATTAAGTCAGAGCTAGTCCATGGAAGATGCTGTTCTTTTACGTGAATAGTTTTAAATGGGGCATGTTTATCAATTACTTTAAGGACTTCAGAATGGTTCACCCCAAAGATAAAACCTTACAGTAATATCACAAAATCATGTATGTAATAATCTCAGTGCAATTTAGACCAGTCCAATGGATTCATAGACCCATAAAACATGGGGTTAGACACCAAGATTATTTGGCTAGGTCAAATAATGAACGAGTTAGGATATGTTAAGGGCTTCCTGCGCATCTTGGACGCCATCTTGAAAATTACACCTTTCTAGTTGTCGAACTTTGATAAACTTTTAGTATGTTATTAAGGACACCTATTACTACAAAAACATCTGAGAAACCTTTTGTTAGAATTTTTTTGGGGTTAGGTGGTTTTTTACCATATATGCAGCCGCCTATTTCTCTTTCACGTAGCCTTGTATTGATTTATCAAAAAACGATTTATTCAGTTATTTTCAACAGGTCTGTCGTAGAAGGGGGTCTAGCGTCCGTCTTCGGCCTTGACATATGCGGAAGTTGAATAGATCTCCTTTAAACTGATTTTAGATTTTATTAAAGTGATTCCATAGAGACGGCATTGTGAGCTTAGACTTGTGCTAACAATGCTAATGAGGCAAAGGAGGCTTTAGGCTACTGCTGGTCTCCATGACGACTCAAACTAGGCATCAGCGTATCCTAGGCGCAGGCATCCCATAATATACACTTCATCATGAACAATGAGGGACTCAATCAGGGTCTGAACCAGGTCTAAACCAGGACTACACCAGGACTGTGTAAAACAATTTCATTCTGTGGCCGCCACGGTGGCGGAGTGGATAGTCCTGGGTTTGAATCTCGGTTGGAACAGGGACTTTCTGAGTGGAGTTTACATGTTCTCCAGGTGCTCCGGTTTCACCTACCACTAAAAACATGTACAATAGGTATGAATGTAAGGAATTAACGATTGAATGGATGGTGCTGAATGGGGGCTTTGATGCGCCAGTATGATCAGCGTCTCGCTTCCGTCATCACCGTGTGTGAATGGAAATTATTTGGTTGTAAAATGCCGGATACAAATAAACATTACTTACTTACTATAAAGACCTGAAGGATGAGCCAAAGTTCCTATGTTCGTCTCTCTGGATCTCCCTTTGTTTTATCTCAGAAATCTCTCTAATCCCTCTCTTCTCTCTGGTCCCTTTTTGGTCTCTTTCAGATCTTTCGCTCTCTCCCTGGTCTCTCTCTGGTCCTGGTTCTGTGTCTTTATGACGTATATTTATAATATAAGTATATATTATATTATATAATATTTGGTCCCGTCATCGTTTCTATATAATATTCTTATTTCTCTTTAGTCTGTGGCTTTAATCTTATTTTTGTTCATTTTTTTTTCAGGACAAAGTGCAGATTACTGGTTTATCACTGCAGCACAGACCTCAGATCAGAAAAGAAGGAGACAAAGACTCAAGAAGAAGAAAGCCAAAGATTAAATATACTTAAACCACATAGAAAATATATATTTAAAAAGTATCAAAGCTGGGGTACGTAACTTTAGAAAGAGTCTTGTAAAAGTATAATGTGAACAAATCAGACCACAACATACTGTCTTCAGCTCATCAGAAAACATGTAGGAAAGTGCCCTGTGAGTCAATATTTTATCATTTTGGCTGAGTGAGGGTCCTCTCAGATGTGATAGGTTGAAAATTACATACCCCAGCTTTAATGTCACGAACTCATCTTTCTCTTCGTCACTTTCCTGCAGGTCTGTGAGGGAGTTGGAGACCGTGACGTTTACATCATGTCAAAGTGGGTGGGGGCATGGTCTCATAGAGGGGGCATGATCTTGTATAAAGTAGCGCGGAGCCTGCATCCTCACATCAGGAGAACGACTCTTCAAAAACAGTAAGTGGATATTTAAATACTTTACCCTGACTCCGGACCCTGACCTCTGACCCTGAAGACTGGTGATACATACATCCCTTTAAGAAGAGTAAATCTATTTTCTAAGACATGGAAATGTAAGAAAAATGCAGGAGTGTGTGTTTGTGTATCTGTGTGTATGTGTGTGTGCTACAGATGTGTGCATCTCTGAAGCTCTGTGTGTGTGCGGTGTTGCTGATGCTCTTCTCCACCGGCCTGAGTCAGAGTGACAGGTGAGAGTCATACACACACATACACACACGATCTTAATTTCTTACCTCCTCTCTCCTCCTTTGCCTTTCTCCACTTCTATTACCCAATTTTCTCTCCACCCTCTCCTCCTCAGTCGCAGGGCGGTCTCGGAGCACCAGCTGATGCACGACCGTGGCCGGACCGTCCAGAGTCTCAAACGTCTCATCTGGCTCTCGTCCGCCATTGAGGGACTTCACACGGCCCAGACCCGAGCAGTCCACTTGGGGATGGACCCCGAGCTGGACCCCGAGATTGACCCCAGAGACCTGAGCCCGGAGGAGACCAGAGACCAGACCAATCTGATGAAGAGGCTGATCCAGGACTTCTTTAAATCGACCAAAGTGTAGAGTGCAGCTGCACTCAGACAGAAGAGAGGCTCATCTTTGGATACAGAATTTATGCAGCGAGAACAAGGGTTTTCTAATCATCAATTAGCCCTAACAGCCTCAGCTAACACCACCTCTCTTTCCTCACCTCCTCCTCTTCTCTTGTTTGAGTATGGCTATGAGTTGTTTAAATAGAATTTTCACTCATTTTCTGAATCTCTTTGAGGGCGAGGTGAAGGTCACATTCAGCCAGCGGTTCACCCAAACACCACAGACAATACAATTCAGAACAGAATTGCCCCAAAACACAAAAAACAGCAGTTGAAAATTGAAAAAACATACACATACATAGACACAAACGAGGATCACAGAGAGCACTAAACCACAGCTTTTACTTTTTTGATTACTTTCATGTTTAAGTCAATAGGAGCCAGAGCGAGTTGGAGCTAAACTTCACAATGATTACTTCCCTTTGGGCTTCAATGACCTAGTCCTAGTGAATTGGCATATAGCTACTGGGTTAGCTTTGAGCTCACGGGTTAGCATTAAATTGGTGGGTTAGCATTGAACTTGAGAGGGTAAGCATTGTCCGTCTGTTTACAATCTATGATTGAAACGAGAAAAGAAAGAAGTCGACTTTTCCTTGAAACCAAAACTACAAACTAAAGTCTTTCTAGTGTTGTGCCGCTCTCTCTTTGCTCCGTGTCGCTGCTCTTTCCTCTCATCATCTATTCATATGATTGTAACATAATGTAAGAATAGAAGTGTCCCTGCTTAATCTTTGTTCTGAAATGTAAGCCCTGTGTAATAAAAATGTACATACAGACGTGTTTGTATTTGTATGGCTCCTCCTGCTGTCTTTCTGAAGTAGAGGCGAGATGGGCCGGTTTCCATACGCCATGAATCATGAGGGACAATGTCACCTCTCACTCTGTGTTGAGTGGTGATTTCGCAACTCACTAAAGTATTGGCATTTCGTCCCTGGCTTATAGATAACGAAATATTGTCGCGGAAATACCATACTGTTCAGCGAGGAGAGGACATTTAATAAAATATAATATAGAATATAGAAATTAGGGGTCTATATGCCCCAAGGCGAGTGACCCCGAGCCCCACTTTAGGAACCACTTTAGTACACCAGTCCCATAAAGGTACGGCTGTTCTCCTTGTGTCCAGCAGATGTCGCAAAAGCTCCACACAGCTCCCCGGCACACACCACTCCTCCAGGCCGACAGAGAGCGCTTCTGTCCCAGCTGCTCTCCTCGCGAAGTATCGGTGTGTGGAACCTTGTCCCATAACTCTGCGGACATCAGTACAACCTCCAGCCACAGAAGAGAAGCCCAAAGCCGCCCGCATCCCCCCCAACATCTCTGCCTTCTCCAACCAGTCACAGGTGTGTTCACAGCCTGCCAACATCACCCTGCTCGCGGATACAGCTGCAGCCTGGTCCCCTCGTCTATCTGGTCCTTTGACACTCGCATCCAGAGGTGGGCACAATATGGGGAAGCGCATCCTATAGCAATGTTTTTCAACATTTTTATATATATTTTTTATATACGATAAATGTAATATCTGCAAATGCCCGTATTATCAAACGTACCGTAATAATCAAATGGAAGTTTATTAGCACTTGAGCGAGTTTGCGCAATAATTCCTAAACACATTCCCTTTCTCACACACATTTATTGAAAGCCAAAAATAACAAAATGAGCGTTTTTTATTCTTACAAGAGATTTGTATATATGTGCGGATAAATCATTCTGAAGTTGCTGGGACAGGATGGAACAGATGTAGAAGGAGAGCGAGGTCCCTGCTCGCCACCCTTGAGCTGCTGTCTCCCCGGTACATCTGTTAGCATGAGCTGCTGTAGCTTTATCCTTCTTGGGGTGTAGTAGACAAGTCTGCTTCCCTTTGCTGTTGATTGCAAAGAAGGTGGCGTAGTCTATGCTTAATACATTAGCACTGTAACTTATTGAAGATTAATAGTAAACAGTTAACACGCTACACTAAGAATCAGCGCGTTAGAAGTTTATTTAAAATATATTGTAAGCATCACTCTACTCCCAAGAATCATAGGGAGCAGGATAAGTCGTTACACCTGTTAGCATTAGCCGCGGTTTGCTTTGGTCCCCTAGCGGCTGATTCAGAAGCTGACGCGGGACATGAGGCTTCTGTTCGGGTGTAGATAGTGGAGACATGTCGGACACTTGTTCCGTGGTGACATTTGTGACTTTTAAATGTTTTTACTTCTGTTTTGGATCTAAGCGGAAGCGTCCACCCGCCGCCGCCATCTTGCTAACGCCATATAAAGTGGTTGTTTATTTATTATTTCTGTTTTTAAAAGCCCGGTTTTTTATTTTTCTTATCTCAATAGTATGGTGAGTTCCTTGTCTTTGTTAGGCTTGATGGAATGGCTTTTGTCACGAGTTATATAATGTTGTGGTTGTGGGTCACTGTTTAACCCGGTCTCATTGGGCGGTATACTGTTTAATGCATGTTTATAGCTGGGTACGTAAATTCAGTCTCATAAATAATAGAAATCTGACCACAAGATGCCATCTTCATCTCATTAGAAAACATGATCTTCTAATCTACATACCTGTGAGTCACTATCTGACTCTTTGGTCTGAGAGCTGATTGGCTGAGTCTCTCTGTCCTCAGCCTGAGCAGAGCGCCTGCATGAGCGGCCTGGGCCAGCCGCTGCAGGGAGGGGGCCTGCGCTCTCGAAGGGCCCCCAGTCGAGAGGGAGGGCCCTCGGGGGCCTCAGCTGGAGCTATGGAGAACTGCTGTTTTGGGCCTGGTCTGCTGCGGAGGCTGATGGAGCTGCCCTCACCACCTCTATCCAGACACCAGCTGAAGAGGCTGGAGGAGCACAGGTACATGTGTGTGGGAGGATGAGCACAGGCACACATCTGCAGGGGGGCGCGCGTGTGTGTGTATATGTATATGTATATGTATATATAATATATATATTACATATACATATACATACATACAACAGGTCCTTCTAAAAAAAAATTGCATACAGAGATAAACTTCATTATTTTCTGTAATGTACTGATACACAGTAGACTTTCATATATTTTAGATTCATTACACAAAACTGAAGCAGTTCAAGCCTTTTATTGTTTTAATATTGATTATTTTGGCAAAAAAGTTAAGAAAAACCAAAAATCCCTATCTAAAAAAAATAGCATATTTCATCCGACCAATAAAAGAAAAGTGTTTTTAATACAAAAAATGTCAACCTTCAAATAATGATGTTCAGTTATGCACTCATTACTTGATATGGAATCCTTTTGTAGAAATGAATGCTTCAATATGGCGTGGCATGGAGGCAATCAGCCTGTGGCACTGCTGAGGTGTTATGGAGGCCCAGGATGCTTCGATAGTGGCCTTAAGTTCATCCACAGTGTTGGGTCTGGTGACTCAACTTCCTCTTCACAATATCTCACAGATTCTCTATGGGGTTCAGGTCAGGAGAGTTTGCAGGCCAATTGAGTACAGTAATCTCACGGTCAGTAAACCATTTACCAGTGGTTTTGGCACTGTGAGCAGGTGCCAGGTCGTGCTGAAAAAGGAATTCTTCATCTCCATAAAGCTTTTCAGCAGATGGAAGCATGAAGTGCTCCAAAATCTCCTGATACCCAGCTGCATTGATAGAACACAGTGGACCACCCCCAGCAGCTGACATGACACCCCAGACCATCACTGACTGTGGGTACTTGACACTGGACTTCAGGCATTTTGGCATTTCCTTCTCCCCAGTCTTCCTCCACACTCTGGCACCTTGATTTCATCCGAAAAAAGTACTTTGGACCATTGAGCAACAGTCCAGTGCTGCTTCTCTGTAGCCCAGGTCAGGCGCTTCTGCCGCTGTTTCTGGTTGTGGTTTCTGTAGCCCATTTCCTGCACACGCCTGTGCACGATGGCTGTGGATGTTTCTGCTCCAGACTCAGTCCACTGCTTCCGCAAGTCCCCCAAGGTCTGGAAATGGCCCTTCTCCACCACCCTCCTCAAGGTCTGGTCACCTTTTGGGGTTGTGCAGCGTTTTCTGCCACACTTTTTCCTTCCCACAGACTTCCCACTGAGATGCCTTTATACAGCACTCTGGGAACAGCCTATTCGCTCAGAAATGTCTTTCTGTGTCTTACCCTCTTGCTTGAGGGTGTCAATGATGGCCTTCTGGATAGCAGTCAGGTAGTCTTACCCATGATTGCAGTTTTGAGTAATGAACCAGGCCGGGAGTTTTTTTTTAAAGCCACAGGAATCTTCTGCAAGTGTTTAGAGTTAATTTGTTGGTTCGGATGATTTAGGTTAATGGCTTGTTTAGAGTACCTTTTCATGATATGCTAATTTTCTGAGATAGGGATTTTTGGTTTTTCTTTACTTTTTTTGCCAACTTCATCAATATTAAAACAATAAAGGCTTGAACTACTTCAGTTGTGTGTAATGAATCTAAAATAAAAGTATGTTTATCAGTACATAAGTGAAAATAATGAACTTTATCACAATATGCTAATTTTTTTTAGAAGAACCTGTATAAACAGTGCCTTGCGAAAGTATTCGCCCCCCTTGAACCTTTCAACATTTCGCCACATTTCAGGCTTCAAACATAAAGATATAAAATTTTAATTTTGTCATGAAACAACAAGTGGGACACAATCGTGAAGTGGAACAATATTTATTGGATAATTTCCACTTTTTTAACAAATAAAAAACTGAATAGTGGGGCGTGCAATATTATTCGGCCCCTTTACTTTCAGTGCAGCAAACTCATGCCAGAAGTTCAGTGAGGATCTTTGAATGATCCAATGTTGTCCTAAATGACTGATGATAAATAGAATGCACCTGTGTGTAATCAAGTCTCTGTATAAATGCACCTGCTCTTTGATGTTCTGAGGGTTCTGTTTAAAGCGCAGAGAGAACCATGAAGACAAAGGAACACACCAGGCAGGTCCGAGATACTGTTGTGGAGAATTTTAAAGCCGGATTTGGATACAAAAAGATTTCCCAAGCTTTAAACATCTCAAGGAGCACTGTGCAAACAATTATATTGAAATGGAAGGATTATCAGACCACTGCAAATCTACCAAGACCCGGCCGTCCCTCCCAACTTTCATCTCAAACAAGGAGAAGACTGATCAGAGATGCAGCCAAGAGGCCCATGATCACTCTGGATGAACTGCAGATAACTACAGCTGAGGTGGGAGAGTGTCCATAGGACAGCAATCAGTCGTGCACTGCACAAATCTGGCCTTTATGGAAGAGTGGCAAGAAGAAAGCCATTTCTCAAAGATATCCATAAAAAGTCTTGTTTAAAGTTTGCCACAAGCCACCTGGGAGACACACCAAACATGTGGAAGAAGGTGCTCTGGTCAGATGAAACCAAAATCAAACTTTTTGGCCACAATGCAAAACGATATGTTTGGCGTAAAAGCAACACAGCTCATCACCCTGAACACACCATCCCCACTGTCAAACATGGTGGTGGCAGCATCATGGTTTGGGCCTGCTTTTCTTCAGCAGGGACAGGGAAGATGGCTAAAATTGATGGGAAGATGGATGGAACCAAATACAGGACCATTCTGGAAGAAAACCTGTTGGAGTCTGCAAAAGACCTGAGACTGGGACGGAGATTTATCTTCCAACAGGACAATGATCCAAAACATAAAGCCAAATCTACAACGGAATGGTTCACAAATAGACGTATCCAGGTGTTAGAATGGCCAAGTCAAAGTCCAGACCTGAATCCAATCGAGAATCTGTGGAAAGAGCTGAAGACTGCTGTTCACAAACGCTCTCCATCCAACCTCACTGAGCTCGAGCTGCTTTGCAAGGAAGAATGGACAAGAATTCCAGTCTCTCGATGTGCAAAACTGATAGAGACATACCCCAAGCGACTTGCAGCTGTAATTGCAGCAAAAGGTGGCGCTACAAAGTATTAGCGCAAGGGGGCCGAATAATATTGCACGCCCCACTTTTCAGTTTATTTGTTAAAAAAGTTTAAATTATCCAATAAATTTCGTTCCACTTCACGATTGTGTCCCACTTGTTGATTCTTGACAAAAAAATAAATTTTTATATCTTTGTTTGAAGCCTGAAATGTGGCAAAATGTTGAAAGGCACTGTATATATATATATGTATGTGTGTGTGTGGAAGAGACCTCAGGTACACCTCTATCTGTGTGTGTGATGTCGTGTATAGCACTGAATGGATTTTGACCTCAGGTATAGCTCTGCGGGTCAATCCCTCCTAGAGCCACTGATGCAGACTTACTGGGAGTGGCTGGTCTCTCGCGTCCCGTCGTGGATTGCCCCAAACCTCATCACCATCGTCGGCCTGGCAACAAACGTGTTTACCACATTAGTGCTGGTGTACTACTGCCCCACGGCAACAGAGCAGGTAACCACGGCATGAAGTGACAGTCCTGCAGCTCTGTGCTCTCTAGTCTTTCTTGTCTCTCTTGCTCTGAAGCACAGTCACAGTAGGCTCAGTAGTCACTCTCTTTCAGTCTCCTCTCTGGTCTCTCTAAGGTCTCTCTCTCTCTCTCTGGGGAGCACAGGTACAGTAGCCTCAGTAGTGTCTCTCTTTCAGGCTCCTCTCTGGGCTTATCTCTTGTGTGCCGTCGGACTCTTCATTTATCAGTCGCTCGACGCCATAGACGGAAAGCAGGCGCGCCGCACCAACAGCAGCTCACCACTGGGGGAGCTGTTCGACCACGGTTGTGACTCCCTCTCCACCGGTGAGGGTTGCAGTGTTCATCTGAGCCAAAATGTCCTGTTCTCATCTTCAGTTCATGTTCACTGTGTATTAGGGGCAGAGCTCAGAGTGATATGCAGGGACTAACTCAGAAGTGGGGACTTGTCTGTTTTATCATTTTACACTGTTTGTAGATATAACCCTGCCCCCTAGGGGGCTGTAATGTCTAGTGCTGCGTTCAGACAGGATCATGCGTTGCGTCGGCTTTCAATGCAAAGTCAATCGTGAGGCGCGTTCGAGCGTCTCAGAATGCACGCACGGACTGTGCGGGGAAGTCAAAGGGGAGGAACGCAGGAGATGAATTTTGCTCAACCTTTCCTCGGGACGCTCGTGCAGCGACCAATCAGAGCCGCAAAGTGGTCACAGGGACATTAGCGGACTGAGCGAGCAGACTGAAAACGCACGTAAACAGCCAGGACTAAACCAGGACTGACATAGTGCTTGTTACCATGTGAGTTGCCATGCTCCCGTGACTTTATGCAACTGCTTCGAGTGTGTACCGTAAGTACCGTTTAATAATAAAATAAACTTATTGCGCACCTCCGTGAACACATACTGCTGTTATATAAAGTCTGTGGAAGGTCTCTGAACACAGACACGCTGCAAAGCTGCATTATTGGAGAATATTTGTACACAAGAAGCCGCTAGCTAAACTTTGTTTGCATTAGAGCCCGCCGGCTACTTCCGGCACGCACCAGGACCTCTGGTCTGAAGACCCCTGCGTCTGAAAACTAGATAACGTGCGTTTCAGCGTTGCCGGTCTGAAAGCACCATAGTGCAGGGATTACCAATTAAAGGATCTATACTCGTTGCTTTTTTTTAGGTTTTTTTTCAGTTTAAATATTTAGCACCGCCCCAACAACTCGCTCACAGGCTTCTCATTTCCCCTACGCTCTCCTCCCACAAAGCCATCTAGTTTTATTTGTGAGCTGATACGTATGCAAACCTTAGCAATAGAGCAACTTATTGTAAGCTGTACAATAAGTGTACACATGTACATAAGCATTCACTGCCTTTACTTAATACTTTTTTGATGCACCTTTGGCAGCAATTACAGCTTCAAATCTTTTTGACTATGATGCCACAAGCTTGTCACACCTGTCTTTGGGCAGTTTTGCCCATTCCTCTTTGCAGCACCTCTCAAGCTCCATCAAGTTGGATGGGGAGTGTCAGTGCACAGCCATTTTCAGATCTCTCCAAAGATGTTCAATTGGATTCAAGTCTGGGCTCTGGCTGGGCCACTCAAGGACATTCACAGAGTTGTACTGAAGCCACTTTGGCTGTGTGCTTAGGGTCGCTGTCCTGCTGAAAGATGAACTGTCGCCCCAGTCTGAGGTCAAGAGCGCTCTGGAGCAGGTGTTCATCCAGGATGTCCCTGTACATTGCTGCGTTCATCTTTCCCTCTATCTTGACTTGTCTCTCAGTTCCTGCCGCTGAAAAATATTCCCACAGCATGATGCTACCACCCCCATACTTCACTGTAGGGATGGTATTGGCTTGATGATGAGCAGTGCCTGGTTTCCTCCTGGCACTCACGCCAGAGTTCAAGCTTTGTCCCATCAGACCAGAGAATTTTTTTACTCATGGTCTGAGAGTTCTTCAGGTGCTTTTTGGCAAACTCCAGGCGGGCTGCCATTTGCCTTTTACTAAGACTATATCCACACGAAGACAAAACGCTTATAATTTCAGAAACTTTTTCTGTAAACACGGAGTTAGCTCAGTAAATGTGTGCGTCCATATGAATGTAGTCAATACGCCTGAAAACGCTGTGAAACTATGCCAGACCTGTTGGTGGCGCTGTGACGCAATGATGGGATCAAGCCCAAACTTCCGTGACGGGAACTGGGCATGCGCAGAATTTTGTAAACAGACAACATGGCGAGTGGGCGAGCTGGTACTACATTAGTATGGACGGACGATGAGGTTGAACTGTTGCTTCGGGTCACACTGGATTACAAAACCAACAAGCCATTGTTGTTGTCATTATTTTCTGAGTGCGGCGCATGCGTGCTTTAACAGGCGGGGCGATGACGCAAGCGTCTCAGATACATTGCGGAGAGGCAGTAACCACGGAGCGGCATATACAGAGTTTTGAAATCTTTCCACTCTGGGACCTACTTTCAAAAATGTTCGTTTACACCCCCCCCAAAACGCCGGCCTCGTATGGACGATACACTGGATTGATAAAGTATTTTTGCGTTTAGGCCTGAGCTTGACTTTGTGTGGACAGGGCCTAAGGAGCGGCTTCCATCTGGCCACCCTACATACAGGCCTGATTTGTGTATTTCTGCAGATGTGGTTGTCCTTCTGGAAGGTTCTCTCTCCACAGAGGAACGCTGGAGCTCTGACAAAGTGACCATCGGGTTCTTAGTCACCTCCCTGACTAAAGCCCTTCTCCCCCGATCGCTCAGTTTAGATGGCCGGGCCAGCTCCAGGAAGAGTCCTGGTGGTTCCAAACTTCTTCCATTAACGGACGATGGAGGCCACTGTACTCAGTGGGACCTTCAAAGCAGCAGACATTTTTCTGTGCCCTTCCCCAGACTTGTGCCTCGGGACAATCCTGTTTCGGAGGTCTACAGACAATTCCTTTGACTTCATGCTTGGTTTGTGCTCTGACATGCACGGTCAACTGTGGGACCTTATATATACACAGGTGTGTGCCTTTCCAAATAAAGTCCAATCAACTGAATTTACCACAGGTGGTAAAACAGTAGAAGCATCTCCAGGATGATCCGTGGAAACGGGATGCACCTGAGCTCAATTTTGAGCTTCATGGCAAAGGCTGTGAATACTTATGTACATGTAGTTTCTTAGTTTTTTTATTTTTAATACATTTGCAAGAATCTCCCAAAAAATTGTTTTCATGTTGTCATTATGGGGTGTTGTGTGTAGAATTGTGAGGAAAAAAATGAATTGAATGCATTTTGGAATAAGGCTGTAACAAAACAAAATGTGAAAAAATTGAAGCGCTGTGAATACTTTCCGGATGTACTGTAAATATTTTATTTAAAATACACATGTCTCACTCTTCCTCCTCCGCTCACAGACCTGTCTCGCTCCTCCTCCGCTCACACACAGGAATTTCTGCTCCTCCTCTGCTCACATACCATGCCTCGCTGCTCCTCCTCCTCCGCTCACACACCTCTGTCTTGCTTCTCCTCCGCTAACACACTTGCCTCGCACCACCTCCTCCTCGCTCACACACAGGAGTAGCTGCTCCTCCTCCTCGCTCACACACAGGAGTAGCTGCTCCTCCTCCGCTCACACACAGAAGATGCAAGCGTCCATCACTCTGTACACGGCGCTCACTCTCATCTCTTTCTTCATCTCTGACTCGCTCGGATTTAGACACCGCTAAAATTGTTTTGACAGCTCCGTAAAGTTTTCTCTGAAGGACCCCGCGCTCATAACAGCCCTTGTGCCTGCTTGCTTACAACTTGTTTTCTATTTTCATTTGGGGACTTCTGGTCTAGTGCATAACAGCTGGGACAATTTCTGCTCAGAGCGTTCTTTTAGACCTTTTTCCAATCTCAGTGTTTGTGGTCCTGGGCACCTCCATCGCAGTGCAGCTTGGCACACACCCTGATTGGATGTTCTTCTGCTGCTTCGCCGGGATGTTCATGTTCTACTGTGCACACTGGCAGACGTACGTGAGTGGCACGCTGCGCTTTGGAGTGTGAGTAACGTTTATGTTCTTCTGACACACGACATGCACGTGAGCAACGTACTCATCCGACCGCTCACCCCAGCAAGGTACATCTCAGGCCGGGGTGAGCTGTCACATTATTTATCTATGGAATACTTCTCCGCAGCGTCGACGTCACCGAGGTCCAGATCTTCATCATCTCGGTTTATCTACTTGCCGCCGCAGGAGGCACCGCCTTCTGGCAGTCCACGGTACTGCAGCCTCATCTGCACAGAGCAATCCCAAAGAGGCAGATAGTAACCCCCATGACATTACTGTGCTATATGAAAAAATGTGTGTTCCAGATCCCGCTGCTGAACGTGCAGATGAAGATGTTTCCAGCCTTCTTCACTTTCCTCGGAGCTATTTTCTCCTGCACCAACTACTTCAGAGTGATCTTCACCGGAGGAGTGGGCAAGAACGGCTCCACCATTGCCGTGAGTGGACCCATAGTTGATCACGCAACCAGTTTGTATTCTTTAAGTGGACAGTCTGTCCACTTAAAGAACTGACGAGAAAAGGATCGTTTTACGTAGCATGTAATTACACTAAAAACATAACGATTTGTTTTTTTTATGGTGATGGATTACCTCAAATTTGATTAAATGTGTTTGCACAGTGTGCCAAATAAAACTCAATGGCACTAGTTTATGTTAAAGAGCAACTGCATCAAAACTATAAAACCGAGATGTCTGAAACTTTAGATAGCTGTTGCCAACTCTGTTATAGAGGTCCTGCAGCGATCTGCTGGGCCTTCTTGATGAGGGAGCTGATGGTTGGCAACCAAAAATCATATATCAGGTGCATGAGCCTGGCCATGCGCCCAAACTTCTTCCTTTGGTACCGTTCAAAGCACCAAGGCAATCTGCGCACTTAAGTGCCTCATCGTCTATGTTCTCCCTCCGAAGTACATGCTTCCATCCAAAACGTCATCACACACAGCCCAATCACAATGGACATTCTCTGCGGTGCACGGATGGTAGTGCCGGGGGTCTTTGTGGTCTTGTGGTTATCGCAGCAATGCACAAGTATACACTCTGCTTAATGCTGACAGGACTCAAATAATTGCAGTCTATGGGATTTGATAATTGCAATGTATAGTTCCACTTCAAGCTCCATGCCATGTTGACTTGGTGAGTTTAAAATCCGTGTGTTAGGGCAAACATTTTATTTGCCCAAACACACGACTCTGCTTTCTAAGCTGATGTTTGAAAGCCGGTCGTTTGGGCAGAAGGGCTGAGTCTCATGTGTGTCTCTCCCCAGGGCACCAGCGTCCTGTCTCCGGTCTTCCACATCGGCACAGTCATCTCTTTAGCCGTGATGATCTATAAGAAGTCTGCGGTGGAGCTATTCCAGAGACATCCATGTCTCTACATCCTGGCATTCGGCTGCGTGTCCGCCAAGATCACCAACAAGCTGGTGGTGAGTAGAGCTAACTTGGCTCACCAACAAGCTGGTGGTGAGAGACAGGGGTGTCGGCCTGAGGTCTGCCTCAGAGGCTCTGAGCTGCAGGGCTTCGTCATGACTCTTGTTCAGGGCTAATATTATAACCATCCATCCATTTTCTACCCCTTAATCCATTTCTGGGTCGGGGGGGTGGCCAGAGATGCCACCCAGTACACATAGCACCAGCCCCTCACTTATCCTCCTGCAGGTGGTGAGTCCACAGGAGGACGGCTTCTCTATGGCATAGCCTTGGTCTTTCAGTGGGGGCTTCAGGCAAAGTGGGGTTAAGTGTCTTGCCCAAGGACACAAAGACAGCAGACATGAGTGGGGGTTGGTGAAGGTCTGGTGGTGGGCTTGAACCCACGAACTCCAGACTCAAAAGCCAATGCTCTACCAACTGAGCCACTGTCGCTTCTAATATAATTGTTACCCTGTGGGTTTAAATCAGAATTATTTTATTGCCATTGTAAGTAACGGGAAGTCACAAACTAGGAATTGTCTTTGGTTCAAGGTGCAAACAAGTTATAAAAGTAAAACAATGGTATAAGGCATGCCCGGTCTCTGGGTTGCAGGTGGCCCATATGACTAAGAGCGAGATGCACCTACATGACTTCTCGTTCCTGGGCCCGGGGCTTCTGTTCCTGGATCAGTATTTCAACAGCTTCATCGACGAGTACTTTGTTCTGTGGGCTGCACTGGTGAGAAACCCTCTGAGCAGCAGATCTACTCTGAGCTCCAAACAGAGAACATTACTTACCTGGTTCTCCTCCTCTTCAGGTGCTGTCTCTCTTTGACCTCCTCAGATACTGCGTCTCCGTCTGTAACCAGATCGCCTCCCACCTGCGTATTCATGTGTTCAGGATCACAGCGCCCCCCAGTGCCCACTGACGGCTCTGCGGCCCCTTCCTCAAGTCTGTGAGGAGGGGCGCTCTGGGACTTGGTTACGTCCGTGCTCCAAACACTGATTCAGAATAAGTGAAGACCACATTTAAAGCTGTTCTCTAACTTTAGAACAAATCCACAAAAGTGCACTTTAGATGTCACAGGTCCATTACACCACAGGCCCATGACATCAGTGGGACCGACAAAACTCGTCCTTAACTTGTTTTCCACTCATGAATGATCATTTCTGTTGCACGCTAACACTTTTAACGTGTTATCAATTACAAGTAAAATCCTAAATCTATAACATAACTAGCAGAAAATGTGTCAAATTATCAGTGAAGTCTGAAATGTGTACGATGTGATATGTCAGACCATTGTAAACCACTGTTATGTTCACATCAGGTCCTGATGCGATACACCTGATGTACGCCCCAGCCGCTCTGAACGTCCTGAAACTCTTATTCTGAGTTGTTGTTTGTTGTGACTAAAACTGAGTAAAATTGCTCATATTAATATAAAATGATTGTACATTGAACATATTGTAAAGTATTAAACTGTGTAAAAGTATGTTATTTACGTCTCACTCATAAACGTTTTCTGAAATTTTGAAATCTCTGGGATGATAGTGATTAAAGTATTGCAACATTTTGGAGCGTGTTTTAAGACGTACAGGTTTGTACGTCTTAAAACACGCTCCAAAATGCAGCTGTAATTTGGACCCAAAATAAACGTTTTCTCGCCTGCTGCTCACATGTGGGTCAGGGTTCAGGCTCTAAAACTACACACAAGTCACACCAGGGACTCGCTCTGGCCTTTCTATGTCTCTGTAGCCTCTCGCTCTGACCTCTTGCCGATGTGGTGTCTCTGGTTTCAGGACGTCTCGTCAGGTTCCACGTGTTAAACCCTTCACTTGGTTATGAACTAATCTGAATACAAGTTTGTAATAACATTTTAACTCAAAGATGTTTTTGCAGTGCAGACCGAAGCACTAGCTCATCTGTCTTGTCTCCTAGCTCCTCAGTCTCCTATCCTCTCTCCTAGCCCCCAACCTCCTCTGTCCTGTCTGAAGTGGAAAGTTCTGTCATTTGAGTAGAAATACATTTGCATATCTAGACGCTGCTGCTGTTTGTGGGTGAAAAACTCACAAAACTCTGTGTGAAAAGTCCATCACAGAGAAACAAGCAGAACTGATCCCTGAGCCACATTTATCTAGACTTTAGTGGAAAACTTAAACTTACTTTAACCTTTTCCCTTTTATTGAATTCTTTTAATAATTAAGACCAGACACTTCCACCTGGTGGCAGAGGTGGGAAATTACATGTTTGAGGATTATTCTTCTACCGTGGTCAAATCAAAGACAAATGTCATGTGACTGAAACTCTCAAAACTAACTCCTCAAACCGACGTCATGTGTTCCCTTTGTGTAATGGAGTTTTGACTGGATGGCAGGGGGAGGTGCTGATGAGGATCTTACATTCACTGTTACAAAAGTTGTATTCCTGTCGCTGCTTCTGCCTCTGAATGCCCATGTTCATAGAGAAAAGCTGGACGTGGGGCTAACCACTTTGCCGCTGCGTCTGTTTTTGTAACGTTTGGCCTTTGTAAATACAGCTGCTTCTGTGCATCTTAAGTTAAAAGTCTTTTTTAAATCAAATGGTGTCTGAGTCATTCATAAAGAGGATATTAATCTTTTACTAAACTTGTTTCTTGTGGAAATGCAACAGAAAGCTGGTTAAAGTCTGTCTCCTTCAACCACCAAGAAAACAAATGTCAACTATTGAGGTTTTATTGTGTATTGCCCTAAATCACTACAGTGGTTGTTTGAGGAATTTACAAAGTTGTGGATTCACCAACGACTGATCAGAGAATCAAACAATTCTAGGACAGGAAATGTAATTCCAAATATATAGTTGCCATTGAGGAAAGGAGATATACTTATATCTATCACTTCCATGAACATCTGAAACCTCCTAAGCAGAAAGGCCCGGTCTGTCTGAACAATACAAAGAGACTCTGTTGGGCTCATAACGGACAATTGAGCTTTGTATTTTACATTTCTTGTGTTATTAATCTATAATAAATTAGATAAGTCATTTTCCATGTCCATTACGTAATATTGAATGTGTTGGAATTTGTCTCCGGTCTAATTCTGAGATTCATTCAACCTGAGTTTGTGTGTTTCGAACATAGGCGGAGTCCTTCTCCGCCGTCAATGGGCCAAAACATGTGCTCTACTGGAGCTATCCAAAATGGCCGCGAGTGGTCTCGCCCACAAGAAAATTGTGAAACGCATCTGCACATGCGTCAGCCGGCGTGAGCTCCATTCATTTGAAAGGGAGACTTCAAAAAATCACAGCGAGTAAACTAGAGTGGTCCAAAAAAATTCACCCCCCTCAGCATTGACACACATGTGGAACGGAGCTTTGGGCCAAGAGCCAACTTTTATACCATCCTGTAAAGACGTTTTCGAGAGGTCAGCCAATGCTATATGTTAGCATTGGCTAATTCATCTTCTGGTCCACCCCCATCGGCCCGGGGTGGTATTGCAAGCATGTCAGCGCACGTCAGTTTGGCCACTTTTGAGCCGGGACCCGCCCCCACTGGTTACGAAAGAAGAGGTGAGTTGGTCTGGTGCATACGTCATTTGGATTACCTCTTGCTGTGACTAACTAGACAGCAGCTGGTCTATCCAGATGAAATGAGATATCTAATGAATGGATCGTAACGTATCCATGCCGAATGTCAAGATTATACATACTATATTCATTTGAGTCTTTTGAACATTTTAGTGATGTGGTAAAGTAACGACAGAAACCTTTCTCTGACAGACAAGCAATTGTCGAGTAGAGTGGCGTTGAGTTTTTAATGCAAAGGGCTTGGTGACGCGCATCCATGCAAATATTCGCAGGTGTGTTGTGGTTTGCAGGTTTGTCCAGCGCAGCAGACGCGTTGTTGTGGCCCGGCAGAGGCGGTGGATATGGCGACTCAACACATGCAGCGAAAGCAAGACATGAACATGTTTCGTGGGACACATGAACAGGCGTGCTATGAAGACTGCCTCCCCTATGGACCAGATGCATCGACGTCATACAGTCTTGTCATTGTGGATGAGCTTACGGCGGAAGTAGTAGAAACTAGCATTGCAGCGAGAGCAAAACAGAATACAACTCTTAAAAACTGAGACTCCTCTCCTAAATCAAGAAGTGGCTGCTTCAAGCACATATTCGATTAAGTTTTTGATGAAAGTAGGACATCAGGTCAGGGCTCACAAAGAGCGGTGTTTAGAGAAGTTAAGGATCGCCGAACTGGATGTTGACCCGTACCTTCTCCCCACAGTCAATTTTATCGATTTAAATGAAATGTTTAAATTTACCCAAATTCACCGTGCATGATCTTTTTCATTATGTCGTAAACAATGCATCTCCTCACACTGGAGCAGATTTAAGAGTCAAGTTTGCAGGTGGCATTAGTGCATTAGCAATAGTCCGCTTTTCTGTCTACAGCCAAACATGATTCATATTGACGTAGAGGGAAATAGTGAAAAACGCAACTGAAGAATGGAGTGGTTCTTTTATGGTTTGGGGACACTACAGACAGACTCCGGTCAGAGAATCTTCACTCAGCTTTAATCAGTGTTGGGCACGTTACTTTGAAACAGTAATTAGTTATAGTTACTAGTTACCTCTCCCAAAAAGTAACTGAGTTACTAACGGAGTTACTCCACTATAAAAGTAACTAGTTACCAGTAAAAGTAAATATTGCGTTACTTTTTCGTTTTGTTCTGGAACATAATGTGCACTCGACGTGCGCATTTTTACCTTTAACCTCAGTGAGTCTGAAATATTTCCAATATTTCCATCTAGAACCTGTTCACTCTCCATCTCTCTCTGTGCTGTAAGCACTAAACACAAACACCCGCCACTGTGAATGTGGAAACACCGGTGAAGCACTGACTTCAGCCCAATCAGATGAACATATATATCATATAAATCAAGTGGAAAATTTGTTTGGCTACAGCAAAATATGTTTTATGCCCTCATTGTTTGTTCATACAAAACGCAAAATTATGAGTTATGGGTCTTACCTTATAAATGACCTGCACAGGCCACTTCAGTTCAGACCAGTTCCGTGTTTAAGTCCAGATAATAGTTTGAGCGTAGATATGTAATCCTCCATTTGGAAATGAGTCCAATGAGTATTAAAAAGTAAAACAAAACGCGTGTGTCCTCCATAAACTCCTCTGTTTTGCTGCAGCCGGCTGCATCCAATTTCTAAAATCAACCGTCTTACACTTCACCTCTCTTTCTTATCATTCCTATAGTCATTGAAAAATTACCCTAAGTGCATTTTAAATTATCCTAAAATGTGTTATGTGTATGTTAGCCAAACCTGTTGCTGCCCTTAGCAGATAAACCAGGAAAAGAAAGGAGCTTATCGATGGAATTGTATGCAACCGACTTCTGCGCTCACATGCGCTCCTCTGAGGCTGGCCTCACGGTGATACAAGCCGTGGTTGAGCGCGATTAGGACCCATATTTGTTTCAAAAACACAATTTATGAGCCATCCTCTCAACTGTCGACATGTAGATTGCAAAGGAAAAAGGTTTTACATCAGCCAATAACTGCTGAGAGGTTTTCTCATCCTCCCTTCTCTCATGACAACACGCACACGAGTCCTATCAAGAGAAGTTCATTGTGCGTCTTCAGTAACGCGCAGTAACGGGATGTCGGAAATGATAACGGCGTTATAGTTACAGTCAAAGTAATTAGTTAGATTACTCGTTACTGAAAAAAGTAACTACTACTACTAACGCCGTTATTCCCAACACTGGCTTTAATGCAGGGTTGTCAATTTGTCACAATTTGTACATTCGTGTGTGTATGTGGCTATGGAAACAGAAAGGGACAAAGAAAAACGGTATTAATAATAATTCTATAGTGCATAACATAGTAAACAATAAATAGTCAATGTATCTAGACTAATAGGAACTAAAATAAATCAGACAAAATGATAACATAAAGTCCAACATAGGTACACTTTAAGGTCTATGTGAGGTTAACATAAATATGTAATTAAGTGATGTAAACCACGAACAGAGGTAACTGAAATGGAACTATTAATACAAGGGTGCAGGAAGAAGCATCCTTAGCTTACAAACACAGATCAGGAAAACCACTGTTTAACAAATATGGGCAAACTATACAAGTAAACCTTCCTTCCCGAACTCGTGTGAGCAACAGTAAGACAACAGCAACTTACTTCTTGAGTCACTAAACGCACAAACAATGCACAAAGTCCTCTCCTTCGTTCGGCTGCGTCCCCACGCGTGACGAAGCAGCGTCAATATGGCACCACACGGTCCGTGCTGTGAACGCGCCCCGCTCCCGTGGTGAGGCGTTCAGGTGCAGACGTCAATATGAGTGTGGCAAAGGCTTTCAGACAGCAACTGACGTCAAGCCGCATTCAGACCGGCGACGCTGGAACTCAGGTTCCACGCGCACTGGAAGGACATTCTCTAAATTTCAGACGCTAGGGGTGTTCAGGCCAGAAGTCCTGGGCTGCGGTGGCGCCCGGCGGAAGTAGTGGAAGTGCTTTGCTTTCGTTAAGCAAGCTGCTTTATGTGTAAAGCTCTTTTCCAATAATGTACATCAAAATCTCTACAAGAGATTTTATATAACAGCAGTATGTGTTCACGGAGGTGCGCCATACGTTTATTTTATTATTAGACGGTACTTTCGCATCGGCGAACATGCTAGCTGTGCTAGTTTGCAGTCACTGTACGCTCTCTTTATTCAAGGCTAGGTTTAAAACAGTCCTCTTTAGTTTAGCATATGGTTAGGAAGGTAAGACTCAGGGAAGGCTAAACTCCTCAGACTGTCAGTCAAGCTGCATAGGGAGTCAGTTTGCTGGGAGAAGTATGGTAACTTGAGCACTATCCTCTCCTCCTTCCTACTTTATCTGTTTAGCATTATTAGGATTTTGACTGTAGTTTGTTCATTGCTATTCACCCGTTGTCCCATTGTCTGTTTCATGGTACGATGACGGGACCTCTGGACCTGGCCTCCATCTACACCTGCGGACTGCCCTGCCCGACCCGCCTGGGAGTGCTTCAGTCCTGCACCGGACCTGTCCACGTTCAGCGGCCACTGGTCCACGTTCTGTAACTAGCTTAGGTCCTAGATCATTAGCCTGTCCGTCCGGAGGAGCGGATCCCTTTCTCAAATGGGTCTCCCTCCTTGTGGGTTTCCCTAGTTCTCCCCAAGGTTTCTCACTTTTTCCCTCTGGGTTTTTAAAGAGTTTTTCCTTGTCGATGCAGGAGGGTCTTGTTGGACAGTTAGTGTCCAACAGAAAGGATTGGTGATGATCAGGACACTTTAGCATTCTACAACATGTATGGACATTTTTTTGTGTGTGCTTTATATTTTTCATGTGTTTTAACTGTTGATTCTCTGATCTGTGTTGGTGATTTCAATGGTTTTGTTAAGTCCTCTGAGATGACTTCTGTTGTGACCTAGGGCTATACAAGAATTGTATTGTATTGTACTGGAGAATGACAACTCAGGCTGGAGGCATATGTTCACAAGCACAGAGATGGCGAACTCACAGGAGTTGCCTGAAAAACCCTGTAGGTTTATGTGATAGTTCTAAACTCATCATTTCAACTCATTTAACTGATGCTGTGAATAAAGACTCCGTTCTTGTTGGAAACATATAGTTATTATTAAAGTGTATTCAGCACTAACAGCTAAACAATAAGTGGTAAATATCTGAGGCAAATATAAACTATTTACAAGTGCAAGAGGAATGCAACAGATGCAATAAGCTACTGAAGAAGATTGAAAAGTCTGGGATCGTGTCTTTAATTCATACAATATAGAACAATCCATAGAACACACATCACACAAAGGCGTTAAAAAAAATGGGATTCAGACACCGACACATGCCCACAACGCACTTCAGGGAGCACAGATACATACCTGCATGCCACTTGGGATTGTCAACCGGAACACACCTTCTGGATTTCCATCATGGAAAAACATTCCACCATCTTGGGGTGCAGAATCCCAATCCCGCTCTGTGTCTTCTAGGAGACACTACTCAAACAAACCTCATAAATAAACATCATGACTCCCTACTCATCTCTCTAACTATCGGCAAGAAAATAATATTCCAAAATTGGAAAAATAAAACAGTATGCAACATCACTCATTGGACAAACCTACTCATAGACAGTATCTCAACCATAGACTGTTTATATTAATCTCAACAGAAAAAAATACATCTCACAGAAGGGGGCATGTATCAGCCTTCAATGAAACATGGTCATCACTCATAGCACATTTTCAGTTATAATTAGCCACTCACATCACAACAGAACAAGAAAAACAAACACGCCAACCTCAAATCTCCATCACTATCCAAAAATAAAATATAAATAAACATTACTTACATACATTTTAATATTCTATCATTTGTTGCTTATACCTCACTTTTTTCCATCTGTTTAAACCTTTCCTCGCTGTCATCACCACCAACACCGGTCATCAACTCATTTCACCACAACCCTGATCCCAGCCACCGCCATCCAGTAATTGCCCCACTGTATATGCACACACGCACCCCTCCCTCCCATATGGCAATGTTTCATGTTGCCTCAATATTTGTATTTCTTTGTATGTCCCCATGTTTCGTTGCTGCTTCAATGTTTTTGTTGCAGATGTATTTTGAACGTTTGAAACAATATCAGACTTCGCAATCAAAAGATATAACACATAATATGGGCATAAATGAGACTTCCCCCATCCTTGCTATGGCTCTTTCCCTCCGTAAATGTCCATGGAAAAAGAACATCCACTTGTATTTCCCAAAGTATAATCCATTCTGGAGAAATAATCCAAACATGTGCATTTATCTTTAGCGAAAAAAACATTCTGAAAGAACACAGACGCTCCTTTTTCACTGTTAGCGGAGTTTCAGCTTTAGTTTTCCGAACAATCATAATATTAGTATTAAATGAATAGGTAACCCAACAACATCATGTTATTTTTGACAGCACAGCAAAAAGGCCCAATGTGAAGCTGCAATGAGTGTGAAGTGGAGATGGAGCTAATGAACAGAAAACGGATCATTCATATACATTGACTTATAACCAAATTGCAGCAAAGATAGCTGTGGGACAGCATCAATTTATTTGCATGAGAATAGTGGTTCTATATTTTCTTTCTGATGCATAATAGTGGATTAAAAAACAATGAGTTTGAACACGGCCCTGCACCTTTCTCATCTCCCCGTCATTTAGAAACTTCAGGACATGGCCAGAGTTCACAGCTAATTCCGACCGCTCACCCAGTTTTTTTGTCCCAGAGACAAAATGTGTACACAACAACACAGGAAAATCCAAGGAAGAAGTCGGCTATCTCAGCACCATAAAACTTGGCACGTGTGGTTTGTTTGTATCCGCGGGTGGAAATCTCGCAAAATCTCGCACTTCCGCTTTCATTTAAACCCATGGCGCATCTCCGTGAGCAGATACTTGGGTAACATAATTTCTCTGGAAGGTCCCGGGCATTTATCTATTACTAATATCCCGGGATACAGAAACTTCACGGATCTGCACTGGTCAGTAAAATTATGTATGCGCGGCCAACTCTACGACCCATATAGTAGACTGTAAATATTAGATCAACTCGACAGAACCGGCGTCTTACTGGTCTTCCTCTTCCTACACAGTGCGGAAAAGTGCACCATAATCCATATCTATCTTTTATGAACATTACAAAAAATATTATAAATATTTTATAATATTTATAATTCCCCTGGCAGACCAAACTGAGGGAATAAACCGGACACGGAGTCTTCAGTCACTTTTCCCCAAACAGTTCTTAGCTGTACACATTCGCAAACGAGTTCTAATAATAACCACATGAACGATAAATATAAAAGAGTCATTAACTTTAAACATGCCTAACTCTGAGGTAATGTATTGTCTAAAATAACTTAAACATAACATAAAGGCCGTGAGCCGTTGTGTCGGGGAAAAGCTGCAGTGCGTCTGACAGCCACTGTGTTGTGGTCTCAGCTTCGTGTGATACACTTTCACGTTTTTATGGTTGTTTTTAAACTTGTAACAGGTTTTTGTCGCAAATTGTAAAGTTTTTTAGAGGTTCTTAGCAGAAGCAGAGCCCCGCGGAACCTGGCGGCAGAACCAGGCTGAAGCAAAGGTGAGATTTGTGGCTTGTGATCAGAGCAAAGTAACGTGAGAGTCATGAGCTCCGCATCAAACACTCTGATGTCTGTCTGTACACATATTAACTATCTGTCACTGCGGCACTAGTGTGGTACATGAAGACATCTTCATTCTCCAGAACAGATAGGGCAGATACATAATATATACATGTTTATATATCTCTGTTTTTATTCTGGGTTGTTTCTCTCACCACGTCCGTCTTCACGACAGTCCAAACACACCATCCCTGGTCAACACACTGTTTCAACACGGATCTAAAGCATAGCCTGTAAATATTTTGTCTAAAGACACGGGTCTATAGCAGGGAAAGGCATTATGTCCTTTGTGTCTTCAGCTGCTCAAATATTTCATGTTTCAATGTTTCATTTAAATTTTTATAGCTGTAGAAACTCCACAGGACTGCTAATATGTCATTTAAAAATCATTTTGATACATTTGATTTGACACAGCGCCATTGGGATTTTCTCATTTATTATTAACTTTGTCATCTTTATTGTTTTATATATTGTTGGACTTGGGAAATAAAATGGAACCCTCGTGGATGGTTAACGTTGTGTTACATTGGGGTAGTTCCCAGTTGCGGGACTTTCACTTCCTTATGTCGTTTGTGTCTTGACAGAACAAGCTCAGAGTTTGTATCATTGTGGTTCAGAAATGTATGTTTAATTCTATTTAATATGTGACTTGTATTTGTCACACAGGTTCTAAACATGAAGAGGATAGACATAGATGATGGGTTTATAGCCTCATTCACACTGAGGGCATGGGCTTCTGTGTCAAAACCACTGGGCCTTAAACCCACCTTGCAAAATCCATCCATTTTCTTTCCCTTAATCCTTTTCTGGGTCGGGGGGTGCCATTCAGAGATGCCACCCAAGTCACAGAGCACCAGCCCCTCACTGATCCTCCTGCAGGTGGTGAGTCCACAGGAAAATTGCTACTCTGTCAGTGTGAGCTTAGCCTTGATCTTTCGGCGGGGGCTTCAGGCAACGTGGGGTTAAGTGTCTTGTTCAAGGACACAATGTAATGTCTCGAGGTGGGCTCGAACACACGACCTTCAGGCTTACAGGCCAATGCTCTACCGACTGAGCCACTGTCGCCCCCACCTTGTCAAATTCAAAATATATTTCTCTGGTCCCTCTCTGGCCCATCTGTGATTTCTCTGGTTTCAGAGAGGAGGATACTGGATGGTTCTCTGCTCTTGTTCCTCAGATGTGGTGGTTTCAGCAGGGCCTCTGTGCTCTTCCTGCTGCTCTGGTTGTGTGGACATCCGCTGCGTTTGTCTTCGCATACATCACTTCAGTGGTGCTGAGACATGTGGACCCCCTAGTGCCCTACATCAGGTGTGTGTGTTTGCCTCTTGTGTGTTTGCGTGTGAGAGTATGTCTGTTATTTAGATAAAAAATAAACATAATTACACCATTCTAAAAATTACTAGCATTAGTTCAACAGTGCAACAGCTGCACAGGTGGTGTAGCTGCTTCCTTTCCTCTGGTTTAGGAAGATTCATCTTGTCTTCGGAGTAGAAAACCTACTAGTAATAACCTACTATTGTCTGGTATAGAAGAATCAAATACTTTTAATTCCTACTAGGAGTGTGACGATACATAGATTTTTGTTTTTTTTTGTTTTCCTTTCTCCCGCGATTGATTATTGATATGCATTTGCCAAGTATCGATTTTGAAAATTCCAATTTTTTTAAATTAGTATCAATACTTAATATATGGCTACATTACACATCTCCATTCCATTTATCATGAAATAAAGTGTAATTTTTCACTTCATTTTTCTATTTTATGTATGGCATATCGTATATTGCTGACCAATATATCGATAATCGTCATTTTGTGATATAATCGTTATCGTGAGCCGTGTATTGCGTATCGTAATGTATTATGAGGAACAGTGCCTTGCGAAAGTATTCGGCACCCTTGAACCTTTCAACATTTCAGGCTTCAAACAAAGATATAAAGCCGGATTTGGATACAAAAAGATTTCCCAAGCTTTAAACATCTCAAGGAGCAAATGGAAGCAGTATCAGACCACTGCAAATCTACCAAGACTCGGCCGTCCCTCCAAACTTTCATCTCAAACAAGGAGAAGACTGATCAGAGATGCAGACAAGAGGCCCATGATCACTCTGGATGAACTGCAGATAACTACAGCTGAGGTGGGAGAGTCTCTCCATAGGACAACAATCAGTCGTGCACTGCACAAATCTGGCCTTTATGGAAGAGTGGCAAGAAGAAAGCCATTTCTCAAAGATATCCATAAAAAGTCTCGTTTAAAGTTTGCCACAAGCCACCTGGGAGACACAAACACGTGGAAGAAGGTGCTCTGGGCAGATGAAACCAAAATCGAACTTTTTGGCCACAATGCAAAACGATATGTTTGGCGTAAAAGCAACACAGCTCATCACCCTGAACACACCATCCCCACTGTCAAACATGGTGGTGGCAGCATCATGGTTTGGGCCTGATGCAGGGACAGGGAAGATGGCTAGAATTGATGGGAAGATGGATGGAGCCAAATACAGGACCATTCTGGAAGAAAACCTGTTGGAGTCTGCAAAAGACCTGAGACTGGGACGGAGATTTATCTTCCAACAGGACAATGATCCAAAACATAAAGCCAAATCCACAATGGAATGGTTCACAAATAGACGTATCCAGGTGTTAGAATGGCCAAGTCAAAGTCCAGACCTGAATCCAATCGAGAATCTGTGGAAAGAGCTGAAGACTGCTGTTCAAACGCTCTCCATCCAACCTCACTGAGCTCGAGCTGTTTTGCAAGGAAGAATGGGCAAGAATTCCAGTCTCTCGATGTGCAAAACTGATAGAGACATACCCCAAGCGACTTGCAGCAAAAGGTGGCGCTACAAAGTATTAGCGCAAGGGGGTCAAATAATATTGCACGCCCCACTTCAGTTTTTTATTTGTTAACAAAGTTTAAATTATCCAATACATTTCGCTCCACTTCACGATTGTGTCCCACTTGTTGTTGATTCTTGACAAATTTAATTTTTATATCTTTATGTTTGAAGCCTGAAATGTTGAAAGGTTCAAGGGGGCCGAATACTTTCGCAAGACACTGTACCCTTAGGTTCCCACCCCTAATTCCTACCCTCTGGTTGATGCATACAGGGTCTGGTTGGTTCAGACAAATTTCTCTTCTGTGGTTCACACTGACACGAAGAAAAAAAAAAAGGAGCATTCAAAAGTTGGCTAACTTTAAATGTAAATAGAGGTTAACCTCCTCCTGTGTTTCAGTGACACTGGGACGATGGCTCCAGAGCGATGTGTGTTTGGGATCATGCTCGACGTCTCGGCCTGTTTAGGTAAAATCTGTGTGTGGTCTCTCGGGGCGCTCTCTGTGTAATCCTGTTAGAATCACACTGCTGTCTCTCTTAGGCATGTTCACAGTCTATGTGCGATACAAGCAGGTAGAGGCCCTCTCCACAGACCTGCTCCGGCTCAATCGTGTGGGTCTCCTTTTCGGACTGGTGTCTTCCTTTGGGATGGCCGTTGTGGCCAACTTCCAGGTGTCAATTTACTCAGACTCCGTCAGTTGGATTAATTTCAGATGCTTCCTGTGTTTTAAATGTTCTGTTCTATGGTGTAGAAGACCGCAGTGTTCCCAGTCCACCTGTTGGGAGCGGTGCTCTCGCTAGGGGTGGGCTCTCTCTATGTCTTGGTCCAGACTCTGATCTCCTTCTATATGCAGCCAACTGTCCACAGCAAGACCATGTTCCAGACCAGAGTCCTGCTGACCACCTGGACCTACAGCTCCATCATCTGCAGTATCCTCCTCATGGGCTTCAGTCCTGTTTTGGATCTACTCTAGACCTACTTTAGATCTGCTTTAGACCTGCTCTAGAACTGCTTTAGTCCAGCTTTAGACCTGCTTTAGTGGCTTCAGTCCTGGTACAGTCATGCTTCATTCCTTAGTCTCCTCCAGTGTTTGTGTCCTCGGTCGTCATGTACAGCAGTCTCCCTGGAGTGGATGTGGCTCACAAACTACACTGGATTCCAGGAGAAAAGGTAAGCAGCTCCTCCCCCCTCAGTTCACCAGGGGGCAGAGTGAGGTCCTGACAGTTCACTGGTCTCTTGTTTCCAGGGTTATGTGGCTCACCTGGTCAGCTCTGTGTCTGAGTGGTCTCTGGCGTTCTCCTTCATCAGCTTCTTCCTCACCTTCATAAGAGACTTCCAGGTTTGAACTGAAGCCAATCTCACACAGCTCAAATTTTACAACTTCTCCATCTGCTTCTACTTCTACTCCTGCTGGTCTTTTATTACACTGTTTTAGATCAATAGGAGATTGACAAAGTCCTACATATATAAAACTCCTCCTGAGGGGTGCTGTGGTCTTTAACCTGTTTTCTCCTGTAGAAGATTGAGCTCCGAGCTGAACCAGTGTTACACACGTCACATTTGTACAACGGTCCTGTAGGGGGCGCTGTGGTTCTGTCAGAAGAAGAGGCTCCGCTGCTGAGGACGTGACCCGAGACCTGGACGTGGCTTCTTTATAGCACCTTCTCATACACTCTCTGGTCATGAGTTTTACAGGCTTAATACAAATCGCTGCTACTTCAAGGAGTTCACATATTCTGGGTTAGTTTTAAAAAGTGGCCCCTGCCGTAAAGTAGGGTTTTTTGAAGCGCTTTGGTCATTACTTTTGTATCAACAATCCTTTAGAACTTTGCACTTATAGCATTACCTACTGCTTCCATTTGAAGTTTAACCCTTGTACTATCCTAAATGACCCAGGGCTGGTTATGTAATGAAAATTCATCAAAATTCAGCTCAAACTAATTCTTTATGGTATTTTTTTAATCACTGTGGTGGGTCAATTTGCTGTTCACACTATGGCCACATAAGGGTGCTGCTGCTTTTTATACCATGTTTGTATTAGATTTATACAACTAACTGATTATGAATAAATGTGTTTTAACTGTGTTTATTATTAAAGGGGCTGTTTGTAAATCCTCTGAGAAAGAATCAGGATAACAAACTTTATTTAAAAAAAAAAAAAACAAATGCAATTTTAGGGCACAAAAACAATTGTCAAATAGAGAAGACTGGTTTTTTATAAACATTGACAAAAAATTACTCATTACTGCATTTGCACTAACATGCTTAAAGCAAAACTTTAGTCTCATAAATAACAGGTTTAAAACTTTAATCTAACATAACATGAGTAGTCATCTCATTGGAAAACCTGTTATCATTTCTGTGTGAAAGCGCATTGTTAGTCACAATTTGACTCTTTGGGCTGAAAGCTGATTGGCTGTTTGAAGTTTAAGATGGAAGCAAACTGTTTTAGAGCCAGGAATTGGAGAGATGGGTTAATTGCATAGTTCTATGGGTGGGGTATGAAAGTTACGGACCCCAGTTCCCTTCCCAGCTTTGATGTTATGTACCCCAGCTTTAAGTCAATTTAGCCCCCCCTCTTCCTCATATGAGTCTGATGCTTATCCACGGTCTTAATATAGTTGCTCATAAATTCACACTGCGGAGGACAAAAGCTTGGGTTTGTGGGTTTGCAAGTTCGGTCACTCCGACATTGCTGTGACGACCGCCTCCAGAGCGCACTCCACACCAAGAATCCTTTGCAGACTGAGGAAGGCCTCGGCGGCGCCAGCTACAGGTGATGAATGGAACATCTGCAGGGCTGCAGGAGAGGAGCCCTTTATAAGTATGCATACCAGGGTAAAGATCTCACATGTAACTGATCGAACACAGCTGAAGATACATTTAACTGGAGAAATACACAAAACTATAGTAGAGACAGTGTAACGAGTTTGAAAACAGAGCGTTTGAACAGACCGTTATCAGGGACCTTGGGCAGCAGTTGGACTTGTGGATTGACTCGACCATCAGAGTCCACGAGGACTGACCACAGAACCAGCAGCTCACAGCTACAACAGAGAAACACACACAGTGACACACAGAAACACAGGTGTAATGTGAGATCTTTACCCTGGGAGCTGTGGGTGATGCAGGGACATGAGCGCCCCCTTCTGTCCAGCTGGGAGAGAGACAATGGATGGATGTTTGCTCTGAGGAGAGAGAGAGAGGTCAGCTTCATCTGTCCCTGAAAAAGGATATCGAGGACAGTTCCTGTTTTAGAAAGTGATTAAGAGCTGACAAGAATGTGCAACAGTCCAACTAATTACATTCTGCTTTCATAATTCACCACAATTAAACTTTATTTTCCAGTTTTTACAACACAAACAAGACATTTCCTGAAACAATATTTGTCTGATAGCAAAGAATGATGCAGAAAATAAATAAAATGTAACATATAAACATACATTTTTGCAAACACATACCCTCTTTTACCAAACTCCACTTTCGATTATCTGCATTCAATTTATAGGCATTTCACACATGGATCTTCCTGATTGTGAGTGAAGCTCTCGCCAAGGTTTGGGCTGTTGCATGAGCTGCTCTTTACTTTATAAAGGTCTGACTCTCTCTGGCAGACACAGGCGTTTGGGGCTGCCGTGTGAAAACGCCTTAAAGGTCCAAAAACGTTTCAGAACATGACATCACAGCCTGAGGATTTATCATAGTGCCACAAGTTTGAAAACAGAGCATTTAGACAGAAAGGGAGGTATTAGTGTGGCTGAAGCTAAAAACAACTGCAGATCTGTGACCAATGAGGAACAATGTTGGAACATGGAGAGAAAGACTTTTCTGAGTCACATTTTAACACACTTTAAAAGCATGAAATAAAAAATTTCTCCATCTGAACCCGGGCTCCTAACTTTGTCCTCTTGCCCAAAGGAATACAGCGCTCTGATTGGCTGCTGTGGGGTTGGGGCAGGGCTTGTACAGTGGAAAATGAGAGAGCTTTAGATTCCAAAGACTCATGAGGTTTACGACTGTTCAAACGTTTGTCCATCAGTGAAAAAAGCCGGTGTTTTTGAAGAGCAGTAAATTAACCTGAAACAGTCGAGACAAAGTGTGGTCCACAAGCCAACCTATATTTCTAACTCCAACGACCTCACATTACACCTGTGTCTGACCTCACATTACACCTGTGTTACAGACCTCACATTACAACTGTGTTACTGACCTCACATTACACCTGTGTTACAGACCTCACATTACACCTGTGTTACTGACCTCACATTACACCTGTGTGTCTGACCTCACATTACACCTGTGTTACAGACCTCACATTACACCTGTGTCACTGACCTCACATTACACCTGTGTTACAGACCTCACATTACACCTGTGTTACTGACCTCACATTACGCCTGTGTTACTGACCTCACATTACACCTGTGTTACAGACCTCACATTACACCTGTGTCTGATCTCACATTTCACCAGAGTAACAGACCTCACATTACACCAGTTACAGACCTCACATTACACCTGTGTTACTGACCTCACATTACACCTGTGTTACTGACCTCACATTACACCTGTGTTACAGACCTCACATTACACCTGTGTTACTGGCCTCACATTACACCTGTGTTACTGACCTCACATTACACCTGTGTGACAGACCTCACATTACACCTGTGTTACAGACCTCACATTACACCTGTGTGACAGACCTCACATTACACCAGAGTTACAGACCTCACATTACACCAGAGTTACAGACCTCACATTACACCAGAGTTACAGACCTCACATTACACCTGTGTTACAGACAACACATTGCACCGGTGTTCAAAGATCCTACTTCTCGAAGTTTGTGCAAAACAAAATAGGAGAATTTAATCAGCTTTGTCCAAAGATGCTCCTTGTGAATAGAGCTCATTAAAGAGAAAACTAAAGACTCACTTTTACATATTTTCCTTCAGCTAAGTAAGTAAGTAAGTAAGTAAGTAATCTTTATTTATATACCGCCTTTCACAGACCAGAGTCACAAAGCGGTTTACAATTGTTATTATTTTTGGGCACTTGTCCTCTCACTCCACACAGAGATGGGAGCGGGTCGCCGAACAGGAGGCGCATGCCAGACCTATTGTACATATTTTTAGTGGTAGGGGAAACCGGAGCACCTGGAGGAAACCTACGCAGACACGGGGAGGACATGCAAACTCCACTCAGAAAGGCCCTGGTCCGACCGGGATTCGAACCCAGGACCTTCTTGCTGAGACAAAAGACATGTGAGCTAGACACATTCATTAGTGTTTATAACCGTTTGATTTGACGCAGTGTTTCACCTGGTGTTAATCACATTGAGCCTCTTGTCTTGACTGAAAAGGGGGTGCCTAGGGAGGGGAGGCGTGCCCAGGGTAGGTGTGTGTAATAACAGACCTCAGAGGAGCAGATAAAAGCTGTTCTCAGACACTCATCACAGCAGCTGAAGCTCCACTCAGGTAAGAAACATTTATACATGTTTGTTAAAGCTGGGGTACGTAACTTTAGTCTCATAAATAACACATGTAGTTTGTCCGAAAAAAAGAGTCTCAGACATCTGTCTGTCTTCATCTAATCAGAAAACAAAATAGAGCCCTATGAGTCACTATCTGACTATTTGGGCTGAGAGGTGATTGGCTGAGTGAGCGTGGTCCTCTCTTTTCACTTTCCAGTCTAAAAAACTGTTCTAACACGAGGCCAAAAACACATGATTTGAAAAGTAGTGGTAGAAGCAAACTGTTTCAAAGCCAGGAACTGGCTATGGGTTTACCATGGAGTTCAATTGATGTGGTCTGAAAGTAACATCAATTGTATCATATTCATCATATTTCCAAAGGCAGCAAATGCCAAGAGGTTAAATAATGAGTCTTTAGGGACCGATCCTGGTGCAGCTCCTGATGACAGTTCTACAGAGACACAAGTATAGCTCTGGATGACCGCTCTACAGAGATACTACCTCCCAATGACAGCTCTACTGAGTCACTTGCTCCTCATGCCATGATTTCTGTGTTTCAGGTGAATCATGAGGTGGACCTTGGCCTTAGTCCTGGTCCTGGTCTTGGTTCAGTCTGAGGCCAAAGACAAAGTGAGAAAACGAGGGAAGAAAAGACAAGACGGTGAGACTAAATCGACCTATTGCTCAATAACTGATGGATAAAATATATTTGGGCTTATTAATTATTGTCTGTACATTAATGCAAGAGAATTTGGAAAAACTGAAGTTTTAGCTGTAAACGTATTATTTTCAAAGAGAATTGTTTACTGTGGTCCCAGGTTTATCAGAGGGGTTAGAACAGAGCAAAACACCAGAGAAACTAGACAGAGAAACCAGAGGGAGAAACCAGAGAGCAGGGATATCAAAGAGACCAGGAAAGTGAATCCAGAGCGAGAGAACAGAGCAAGAAACCAGAGAGAGAGACCAGCGAGAAAGAGACAAGAGACAAGAGAGAGAGAGCGAGAGAGAGCCACAAAAGTTGTCTTTTAACTAAATAAAGGTAACTCATGTTATATGATGTTGTTGAGGTTTCAGAGGACACCGTGCTGAGGAGTGGGAGCAGGACAGAGGGTGAGAGAGAGAGACCAATGAGAGAGACCAGAGAGAGAGAGAGTGGCACGGGGGCTAAGTGGATAGCACGCTCGCCTCTCAGCAAGAAGGTTCTGGGTTCGAACCCCTGTCGGAACAGGGCCTTTCTGAGTGGAGTTTGCATGTTCTCCCCGTGTCTGCATAGTACCTGGAGGAAACCTCCAGGTGCTCCGGTTTCCCCTACCACTAAAAACATGTGCAATAGTTTAGGTTGTGTGTTTGTGAGTGCGAATGTGGGACGACGGATGGAAATTTGCCCATGGCTACAATCCGGAGTTATGTGTTCAACATGTAATATCCCAACCAAATAAACAATAAATAAATAGAGAGAGAGAGAGCAGGGAGACCAAAGGGACCAGGAAAGTGAAAGAGACCAGAGTGAGAGATCCGAGCAAGAAACCAGAGAGAGACCAGAGAACTAATCACTGTGGTGCACAGAAGCCACAAAAGTTTTCTTCTGACTTTAAATAAATTTTGTGTAAGCTCTCAGTCGTACAGGGATTATTCAAAGCAAAGGAAGGTTTCTCACCCATCATCTGTACTTCTTAGCAAGTTTTCTCGACGTTTCGTCCTCAACCTAGCGGACTTCTTCAGGGAATGAATTCTCGGACCGCGCGTTGGAGATTTATAACCTATGGGTGTGGTTTGCCACACCCTAATCCTGATACTAACTCATAAACAATCTACGGTCTGCTAGATGTAGAAGGGAGCAGGTCTAACGACCCTGCTGAGGCTAACGACCCTAACTCCTTAGCATGTCACAGACCTATTGTCTGCTGGGATGCTCAAGTGGAGTGCAGGTCTCACCCCTCCTAACTCATTAGCATGTCACTGACCTTGTCCCAAGTTAGGGCGTTGTTTTTAGGATGTCGTCATAGATGCGAGGCAAAACAAATCTTAACCCTCCTCCTCTGTTAAGAGAAGGTTTTTGTTTCCTCACAAAAATGGCTTCTTTCACTCCTCTCTCAAACCTAAGGTTGGTTTGAGAGGTCATCATACTGGAGAACGGACAATTAGAGACTGAGGTCTTTAGAAAAGTCCACTCACACTGACCAGTACCTGGCCTTTGACTCAAATCATCCGCTACAACATAAACTCGGGGTCATTAGAACGCTTCAACACCGAGCCCACCAGGTCCCCACAAGCTCGGAGGGAAAGAACAGAGAAACCAAACATGTCCAGAGAGCACTTTCCAGATGTGGCTACCCCAAGTGGTCTTTTACTAAAGCCCAAAGGACGAGAAAGGCCAGAGACACAGTCCAACAGACAGAAGAAAGTAGGAGGAGAGGCGTGTCCTTACCGTATGTGGCGGGAGTTTCAGAGAAACTACAAAGAATCTTTAGGCAACACAAAATCCCTGTGTATTTCAAACCTTTCAACACGTTAAGACAGAAATTAGTGCATCCCAAAGACAAAACACCCAGACACAAACAGAGCAATGTGGTGTATTCAATTAAATGTAGTGAAGAGGAGTGCACTGACCACTATATTGGAGAAACCAAACAGACTCTACAGAAACGACTTTACCAACATCGTAGAGAAAACTCTAGTGGGCCACAGTCGGCTGTTCATCTCCACCTCAAGGCCTCCCAACCACACGGTGGATGACACAGAGGTTAAAATTCTGGCTCGGGAGAAGAATTGGTTTGAGAGAGGAGTGAAAGAAGCCATTTTTGTGAGGAAACAAAAACCTTCTCTTAACAGAGGAGGAGGGTTAAGATTTGTTTTGCCTCGCATCTATGACGACATCCTAAAAACAACGCCCTAACTTGGGACAAGGTCAGTGACATGCTAATGAGTTAGGAGGGGTGAGACCTGCACTCCACTTGAGCATCCCAGCAGACAATAGGTCTGTGACATGCTAAGGAGTTAGGGTCGTTAGCCTCAGCAGGGTCGTTAGACCTGCTCCCTTCTACATCTAGCAGACCGTAGATTGTTTATGAGTTAGTATCAGGATTAGGGTGTGGCTAACCACACCCATAGGTTATAAATCTCCAACGCGCGGTCCGAGAATTCATTCCCTGAAGAAGTCCGCTAGGTTGAGGACGAAACGTCGGGAAAACTTGCTAAGAAGTACAGATGATGGGTGAGAAACCTTCCTTTGCTTTGACTTTAAATAAAGGTAACTGTCTTCATCATATAGCCGCTAGTATAACAAGACACAAAAATCAACAAGACAGCGAGGCCCCAAAAGGTGAACCGCGATATAGAGGGACCACTGTGATTATATCTGTGACATATGCTTGACTATTATCTATAAGTCTGGACCAGCCTGTGTCTCAGTAGAGCTGTGCTAGAGCCCTTCTCTCTGGTCCACAAAGCCTGTGAGTGGAGGGGGACAGGCCCAGGCAGGAGCCACAGGTGCGGATCCATGGCTCCTGACTCATGTCCTCCGGGAAAAACAGCAAAACTACTTCCCCCAAAACAAAACATGACCAAAACCATCAAAAAATCTAAATTTGAGTTTAAGAGTCTAAAAGTATAAGAGAAGCTGAAACAGGAGCACATTCCTCTCCGATAAAACCACTGCAGTTGTATAAACTCCTTACAATATGATGTAACACGTTTAGACAGGAGCAGGAGAGACCAGAGAGAGCAGAGAGAAAAACCAGAGAGAGCAGAGAGGGAAATGAGACAGAGCATTTTTATTTTTTATTTCAGAAGACATTAAACCTAAAGAGAAGCGACACAAGCCTTTGAAGCTGAGGCTGGTCCCAGCCCCGAGGGTGCTAATTGGCCCAGAGCCTCTGCAGAGCGATTCCATTGGTCCCTTCTCCCAGGACATGGCTACAAGTGGTCCAGAGCCAGAGGACCGCATTCCAGAACTGCTCAAGACCGAGACGGATTCACAAGACTATGTGGAACCAGGTGAGAATGAGACCTGGTCCGATTTGCCTCCCGATGAGTAAATGAAGCGTATAAACAAACTGGCCACAAAAAGCCAAACGGAGAAGAAATCTCACCATCTTCTCCACATGCAGAGAAACAACACAGATATTTCTGCCATCTGGAACTGTGTTAGCAAAAATGGGCACTGAAGACGTGTGCATCATGTACTTAAAAGGAGAAAAGAATAATGCCCTGGTTTATTCCCTCACACAAGAAACAGGCTCGGACATTCTCCGACCCTACACCTACACCTACCGACCCTGCTACTACTATAGACCGGGCGGCTTGACCAGAGAGAGACTCCATTCCAGATTCCATTTCAATACCATTTGTAATTTCCGTTTTGCCTAAACCCATAATGAAGTCCAGTTTGCTTCTAATAAAAATGTTGTAGTCTGATTTGCTCAAGTTTTACTTTAAGACCCTTTATGTCAGACAAACTACATGTGTGTGAGAGATGAGAGTTCTTTACATCAGAAAAGTGATGTACCCAGATTCTTACAGTAGCAGCATTCTGTTCAGACTGAAGCAGACAAGGGATCAGACACTAAAGCTGAGTCTGGTCCAAGATGAGAGGGTTTAAACAGGCGATAACAGGACTGAGACAGGAGTAACACAGATCTACAGTCGGACCAGGACTATTACAGGTCTACAGCCGGACCAGGACTGGACCAGATCACAGAGACTCACACACAGCTGCTGTTATTAAAGAACAAAGACGTTATTAGACACAGGAGAGGCGTCATTACATAGGGAGGGACTGAGTGGGATCCGAGCCACACACAGCGCTAAGGCTCGGCCCTGAACCAGGATCAACTTATCCCAAATACTCCAGACATTTGAATAGAATCTCAGTGAAGTAGTAGTACTAATACGACTTGAAATGTTTACGAACATTTCAAGTCGTATCAATTCTCTGAAAGGCCGCAACAAAGTAACAGACAACTGTGAAGTAAAAGCAAAAGAAATGGGAGCAGAAATATTTATAGAGCTTGAGTGAACTGTTTGTGGAACCCTTTTGGAGTATGACTCTACAAGATCTAGAGACTGAAAGTTTTGCCTATTCCTCTTTACAAAACAGTTCTTGCTTTCGAATTAGATGAACGGCAATTAACACAGATTTTCACTGACACAGTTCCTTTATTTCAACACTTTCTTCTTCCATGTCCATAAAGGCCATATGTGTGTAGACAGAGTCAAACCTGATTTGACGTCTGTTTGCAGAGTTCAGTGATCAGAGCTTCACCAATGACGTGGTTGAGAAATGGGAGCAGCAGCAGAAGAAGAAAGAGGAGTCCAGGCGCAGAAACAAGAGGAGGAGAGACAAACAGAAGAAGAGGGAGGAGCAGCAGGCACTCAGGATCCAGGTCTGTGGTGCATCCAGACACTCTATACAGAAAGAAAATGAGCTCAACGCTAACCCACTATCTCAATGAATCCCAAAAGAGAAGTGCTCATGTTTGAAGTTTGACTCGCTCTGGCTCCTGTTGACTTACAAATAAAAATTAACTCCTCTAGCTCAGTAACAGTTTGTGTCACACTGGGGGTGGGAAAAATATAATAATATCACGAAAGTGAATTTGAAGATATGCTTTTATGTATTATAGTCTTTTTTTCTTTTTCAATACACATTACAATTAGAGCAGGCAAGATGCCCATTCGTCAAATAAGTGCCTAAAGCGCCAATCGCGGCTTTATTTGTAAATTTTAGAAAATATGGAGCAAGCCTTTTTGGTGTTCTTTCTTGTGTTATTTGAATTAGATTTATGTTTATATATGTTTGTGCATGTTTGTTATTTTACTATTTGATTAACATTGCAGATCGCTTTGTGTAAAAAATATAAATTTCAAAGATATCGTGACATTATTTTTATTGGGAGTTGGGAAACAAATATCGAAATAATTATTTTTGTTCATATCGCCCACCCCTATGTCACACTCACCTTTTTGGCCTTAAATCCGTGGTTTAACACACTCACTTCACAGCTATAAAGTCTTGTTTTCAAATCCCAGCCAGAACAGGGTCTTTCTAAGTGGAGATGCATCTTCTCCCCAGATCTGCATAGGTTTCCTCTGGGTCCCAGGGTTTCCCCTACCACTAAAACAAGGTCAAATGCGAAGGGGAAATTGCCCTACAGGGATAAATGAAGTGTACCTTAACCTTAAGTGTGTAACCCAAGCCGTGGTGATCCAAGATGGCGTCCTATTCAAATCAATGACTTGGGGACCGAAAGATTAGCGGAACTTGCCCATATTTGGGCATTGTCTGGTCCTCCCGGTTCTGCACAGTGAACGAGCTCCCATGATGCTTTGCGCCAAATAAGCGTGCATGGCTCTCATGCTCATGCACAGAGGGGCTTGGCCGCGCTTTGACCAATCAGTGGCTGGTGATCAGAGCGGAGCCAGAGCAGGAAGAAAACGAGCAGAGTTTGTTGCATTAAAAAGTGGATTAAAAGAAAACTAAAGGATTTAAGAAGAAAAGAAAAAAAGGTTCAAGACGACAAGGGAGACAAAAAATCCCACAAAATCCAATCTTTATGAAAGCTGTAGGTTCTCTGTCAGCTGAGGTCGAGCTGTTTTAGTTTACATTGAGTTCTATGGGACTTTTTCCTGGGCAGCCCACGTAAATATAGTCTGCATTACTGCGGGTGCCCCCTGTGCCCATGGGTGGGACAGCAATAAGCTAGTAATACCCTATCCATATATTATAATAGATCCATGGTGTAACCCAAGGCTCAAATCTGGAAGAAGATTGTGAAACAATATGGGCCCCAGGATTGACAGTTGAGAGACTCCTGTTTGATATAGTTGTATGAGAGGTTTAGATAAATGTTTGTGTTCTATTGTTGCAGGTAAAAAATGAACAGAAAAAGTGGAAACAGTTGGAGGCGGAGATCCGGAGACAGGAGGAGACGAAACTCCGGAGACAGGAGGAGGCTGAGCTCCGGAAAGGAGAGGAGGAAGTGCAGGTGTGGCTCCGAGGAGATGTGTTTGAGATCCAAAACAAAGATGAAAAAATGGAATCCCAGGGTCCAACAGACGAGCGGCCAGCAGAGGGTAAGAGCTGAAGGAAGCAGATGGAAGAGCCGTTTTAACTGGACACAACTGAAGGAAAGCAGATATAGGAGATTTGGTTCCTCTTGGTTTTTTATGTGTTTACCGTTCCTGATGCAAACAGGAGACATGGATGCCATCACAGTGCATAAAGAGCTGCAGGAGGTCTTTGATCCATCCCCGGACCCAGACCTGGACCCGGGCCGCGGAGGCCTCCCTCAGGGCTGTGACATCTCTGATGTCACGGTGTCATGTGAAAACGCCAACCTGCTTCACTTCCCTCCGCTGTCCATCCCCGAGCTCAAGTCCCTGAGTCTGGAAGGTCGGTGTTTCACCATCTGTGGTGTCCTTTTGTAAAAACGTCTTTTACAAAATTTATTTTGGCATTTCAAAATCAGTGACAGTCCAGATGCAGAGGTCTCGGTCCTCTCCGGTTGCAAAGGTCCCAGTCCTCTCCAAGTGCAGAGGTCCTGGTCCTCTCCAGGTGCCCCCTTAGAGATTGGAGAGGATTTTGGTTGTCCGGGACAACCAAAATCCAACCAGGACTGTTGTTCTGTGAGCTTTTGGACTTGTGTTTCCAGGGAACAATATCAGCAGTGTCCCAGCGGGGGCGTTTAACGGGATCCCAAACCTGGAGTGGATCAACCTGAAGAAAAACCGGCTGACATCTGCAGGGATCCACCCCCTGGCATTCACAGTAAGAGAACCTCCCTGTCTGATCCCGGTCGCAGTCCTGGTCTAAACCCGTTTTTTCACCGCAGAGATTGAAGTTCCTTACTCGCCTGTACCTGGACGGGAACCTTTTGGAGGTTGTTCCCTCTGGATTTCCACAAACTCTACAGGAGCTAAAGATCAACGAGAACCATCTCCAGGGCATTCAGGAAAGCAGCTTCAAAGGTCTGAACCAGAACTGAACTAGGACAGAACCAAGACTAGACCAGGTCTGAACCAAACCTGAACTAGGACTGAAGGTGTTTTGGTCTGTTTCAAGTCTAATCCAGGTCTAACCTGGTCTCATGTAATGTTTCAGGCCTCAACAGTCTGGTGACCCTGGAACTGGAGGGGAACAGGCTCAGTGAAGGCGGTGTGGCTCATGGGGCGTTCAGGGATCTGAAGGAGCTCTTCTACCTACGGCTCGGGAGGAACCTCTTCAGAGCAGTCCCCCAAGGACTTCCCCCAAGTCTACAGGTGAGACAGAGTCTACAGGTGAGACTGAGACGAAGGCATGTGTGTTACGTGCATGTGTGTGTTACCTGTGTGTGTTCCCCAGGAGCTGTACCTAGAGCACAATCTGATTGAGGAGATTTCTGACACAATTTTCAACCAAACTCAAAGTTTAACTTTGATCTCACTGAGAAACAACCGACTGGAGGAAAACCGCATCGGCCCACATGCTTGGATTCACCACAGGTAATGTTAAAGTGCTGCCGCTGCTGCTACTAGTACTGAAAACGGTTTGATGGGCCGTAGAGGGCTCAGACCAGACTATGGAAAAAGAACCAATCACCCTCCAGGAGAGTGACTGTATAGTAGACTCATGGACAGGGTTGTGGCCAACAAGGTGAACAACAAAGGAACAGATGTCCATGCAAAAAAGTGATTAAAAGACCATTTTGTATCCGCTGTCCACTTTAAGCAGTGAAGGATATCAACCCAACATGATCATAGACTTCTGAACTTCTTAGGTCCTCCTTAGCTCTCTGGTCCTTTATAAATGACCATAGACTCCTAAAGTTCTCTGGTCCTCCTCAGGTCTCTGGAGTCTCTGGACTTGTCCCATAATGAGCTGCATCTCGTCCCATCCTTCCTGCCTCAGGCTCTGGTTCATCTGGTGCTGGTGGGAAACCACATCGAGAGAATCCCAGGTACTCAATGCACTCGATCATTAAAGCTGGGGTGTGTAACTTTCAGACCACACCTATATATCTTATATATAAAAAATCCTTGTCACTTTTTCCTGACTCTAAAACCATTGCTTCAATCACTAGTATATTGATGTTCCTAGCCTTGGTTCTTGGCGTTGGTCCTGGTCTTGTCTTTTGTCTAGTTTTCACATAATGTATTTCTGGCCTCTGTCACAGCTTACAAATACGTCTGAAAAAGTGTAAAAAAAGAGGACCACTTTCTCTCAGCCAATCAGCTCTCAGCACAAATAGCCTTCTTACACAAAAGAAAAAGACAGAAAGTTGTGTCCTGGTGCAGGGTACGTGTTCGCCCACATGTCCCCTGGCCTGGAGTACCTGTACCTCTCTTATAACAAACTGGACGGAGAGGGGGTTGAGCCCGAGTCATTCTTGGGGACGTACCAGTCCATGGTTGAGCTGTGTCTGGACCACAACAATCTGCTGAACGTCCCCTCGGGTATCAACGAGATGATCAACCTGCACTTTCTGAGGCTCAACGACAACAAAATACGGTAAAAATACAACCACAACCAGTAAAAGCACTAACACAACCAGTAAAAACCCAATTATAACAAATAAAACCCTCCACGTCCATTGACCAAAGACACAGTTTTTGTACATTTAATGTGTGTGTATACTATATACTGTTATATATGTGTCATTTTAATGTCATGTGACGTGACTTGACTTTGTTAATCAAGGCAGGTATGAACTATGCTATACAAATTACTTGATAAAACAAGAACAAGAGTGATGAAATACAGGACTTGGCCCAGAGATTGAATATGTGGGTAATTTTTCCTAACCCTCATTACCTGTCATTAAAAATAGTGAAGATACAATCCTTCAGTTGTTGCAGCTAAACATAACTGTTTTTAACCTTCATTTGAACATTGTATAAGCCTGTGTTCCAGACTTTAGCATAAATCCAACCTTAGTCATTAAAACAAGTCAATTTATGCATATGAAAATATTCTTGTAATTAATGAGCGAAGAAAACAATAACCAACATAAAGTAATATTATGTATTAATGATACATTTTATGCAGAACCCATGTGTTTGTACGTTGGGTCCTTCAGGGTTCAGGACGCAGAAATTTGAGTTTTAAGGCCATGTACCCCACAACACTGTGTCCTGTAAGCTTAGTACACTTAAACCAGCAGGGAGCAGCACATACACACCTTCCTGTAGTGAGCCGCAGACTACACCTCTCTGCTCCTATTTTCAGCCTGATGTGTTTGGGTACTCCTGTTCTAAGTGTGTAGACTGGCCTGGGTTTGGGTCCCCCTGGTCTTAGGGAGGGGGAGATCCAGACAAAGGGCTGCTGTAGTGTGCTCCAGACAGCACCTCTCGGCTGTTTTCAGCCTGATGTGTTCAACAGCTGCTCAGAGGAAAAGAGAAGAGCGTCATTTCCTTCATATCTGTGTGTTTCCACTGACTCAACCATGGCCCATTAACCACCAGAGACCCCACCCCCTCCTCACCCGCAGACCCCAGATCTCACCCTGTTCTCACCTACAGACCTCACCCCCTCCTCTCCCGCCACACTTCTGTGGCTTCTTATACACGTTAAATAAATCTCTTGTGAAATGTGCACGTTATCAGCTTGAGTTTGGCGAAAACCATTCACATCATAAAGAGGGGTCTCTTTATGATGATGGGTCTTTTGTGGTTGCTGCACTGGACACCCCTTAATGCAGTCTGAGTGTTTATAAGAACATGTTTCATACAGTCTGTGTGTTTAATGCAGTCCCTATCTCCACAGGACCGTCCCGGACCACAGTCTGTGTGACCCTGGTCTGAACGGAGAGGGTTCGTTGGTTGCCGTTCGTTTGGATAATAACTTCATCAACCCTGAGACCGTGTCTCCATCGGCCTTCTCCTGTGTGAGAGCATCCTCCAGCGTGGTGCTCAAGCCCCAATACACTGCAAAGAGGTCCCTGAGACACAAGTGAGGTCACAAGGTCAGCCAGACACCAGTGAGGTCACAAGTACCTGCACGAAGACTTCACCAAAACCCAATCCAACTCTACAGGAAAGAAGCAAATGTGGAAAAGAACATGTCCTGTTTCCCACATCATTATCATTAACAGTGATGAGATTCAAAGCAGACACATTTCTACTGGACAAGATCATCATGTCTCTTTGAATACACCAATATTCTTGCCCCTCAGATCCCATTACAACATTACCTGTACATTTAAATTCAGTTTACTGATGATTTTTCATAACAACTTTTCAACCTAAAGCTTTAGTTTGCAATGTGTGGAACCGTCACTCAGCCAAATATTGAAATACAAAAAAATAAAACAAATAAATCAATGCTACTTCGAACTAAAGCTCTAAAGATCTAAACAATGGAAACTACAGAAGCATGGTATCAGGGTCACAAGAATCATTGACTGTTCAACACTTCTATCTGTCTCTCTGGTCTGTCCCTGGTCTCTCTCTGGTCTTCCCATAGCCCTCAGTCCTGCTCCTGCTGCTCAGCGCGGTGCCCTCTGCAGCTTTACTTTACAGTGTACGCATGGCCTTTTGAGAGCTGCAGCAGCCCTCAGATCTACCACCGACAGGTTTGATATCTCTGCATTCACACTTCAGGAGTTGTGACTTCAGGTGGTTAGAAAAGTGTATGAAGTGTATGGTGAGGGGTTTAAAAATCTTAAAACATACATTCATGGATTTAACTTATTGTGGGACATTTTTAGAACACATCCGATAGACCAGGTACCACTTTATTGTAAGAGTGCTGAACTGTATATCTGGTATAAAACCACTGGTGACAATATGTTTTGTGAAGTTTTTATGGTAAAACTAAACTTTTTAATTATCTTCCGTTATAATTCTATATGATATTAAAATGCATCTGGTTTAAATCTGGTGTAAATAGAAATATGTTCAAAGTTTATTACTGAAACAACTGGAAATAAATGTGTTCAAACCAAAGTAATGAATGAAAAGTGGATGTTTCCATGGGAAAATGCTGAGCTGTGCGTTTGGACCAAAGTGAGCGATTCTCCCCAGAGCTGTAAACTCTGCTCAATGTAAAGTGGAAGGAATGTCTTATAAACACTGGAGGACTGCCCCACTGCATCGAGGTCTGCGGAAAGTGTCTTTGTGTGTTTGCATGTTCTGCCTGCATTTGTATGTTCTGCCTGAGTCTATGTCCAATAACAAATAATATATCTTGTTTTACGGCTATATCTCAATATATTTTGCTATATCTCAATATACGATATATATTCAATATATTTTGAACCTCAACAATAAGTTCAAGTAGGATCAAAGTGCTTCTGTCACATCTTTTTGATTTGTATGCAAAAATAACAATTTAACTGTAAAATAAATTAAGAAAATATACAAATTGCCTTCCAATAATTCAAAAATAAAACATCTCAAGGCAGTCAGTGCAAATAAGAAAAAGTGCTTCTGCAACATTTAAGATAAAAATTCCCTCATTATGTACATAGTAACCTGTTCCAATTCAGTGGCAGTCTCTCCATAGTGAGTTGCGGGTATGGAGCACCAATACTGTCAAAATAATAACTGAATGAACAAATAAATAACTGTCACAATCTGCCACTAAACTTTAAGATAACACTAATTCATCCATCCATCCATCCATCTTCTACCCTTTAATCCATTTCTGGGTCAGGGGGGTGGCAATCAGAGATGCCACCCAAGTCTCATAGCACCAGCCCCTCACTGACCCTCTGCAGGTGGTGAGTCCACAGGAGGACGGCTGCTCTCTGACTGTGAGCATAGCCTTGATCTTTCAGTGGGGGCTTTGGGCAAAGTGGGGTTAAGTGTCTTGCCCAAGGACACAACGACAGCAGTCATCAGTGGGAACACTAATTCAATGTATGAAAATATTATACAACATTCATTTACTTCTTTGTTTATTCAAAGTTTAAGAAAAAAAAAAATGCAGTTGTAAATCCAAAGAAATGATAAATCCTCTTTTCTTTCTGCATGTATTTATTCCATAAAATCTTATTGATTATCTGTTTGATTCTTTCAGCCTGTATTATTATTTTCTTGATTTCTTTGACCTAATGCTAATGAAGGGGCGGGGCTACAGATAGCAAGACGACTCCAGAGACAACTCTTTCTTAGTCTCTATTATGATCATTTTCACTTGCATTGATGGCTTTAGCACAATATATTATTCCACTATCAGATTAATAGTATATAGGAGGATTTTCTACTTCCGGGTGGATCATCAAGACTAGGGCTGCACGATATATGGAAAAAAATATTGTTATCGCGATATTCCATCCATCCATTTTCTACCCTTTAATCCATTTCTGGGTCAGGGGGGTGGCAATCAGAGATGCCACCCAAGTCTCATAGCACCAGCCCCTCACTGATCCTCTGCAGGTGGTGAGTCTACAGGAGGACGGCTGCTCTCTGAGTGTGAGCATAGCCTTGATCTTTCAGTGGGGGCTTTGGGCAAAGTGGGGTTAAGTGTCTTGCCCAAGGACACAACAACAGCAGTCATCAGTGGGAGTCGATGGAGAAGGTGCAGAGGTGGGAATTGAACTCACGACCTTCTGGTCTTAAGGCCAATGCTCTACCAACTGAGCTACTGTCGCCCCCATTCGCGATATCGGTGCGTGCAATATCCATGATTATTATACACATCAACATTCAACAAGAACAACAAACAAAAAAGTATATAAATATATGCATTTGAATGTCATTAATGTTGTGCTTATTTTTTGTTATTTGTATCTTGCGTTTCAATGCAGATGGCAATTTTATGTGAAAGACAAAAATATCGCAATATTGTTATCCAAATACAATACGAGTTTTGTTCAAAAAGTGGTGAGGGCGGTTCTTTCCTAAAATTTGGGAAAATCCTCCTACCTTTAAGTTTATAGCTAGATACAGTCAAGTTTATTAATGTTAGGGCTTCATAAAAGGTGTTATAACCACAGTGTCTGTGACATCACTTCAGCAGAGCGAGACCAGAGAAAGAGAGATCAGTGAGAGACCAAAAAAAGAGTTTGGTGAAGCCGACAGTGAGGTTGTTGCTGTGTTTAGTGAGTGAACAGAAAATGTATAAATGTGTCATCAGCCCACACTGCAGCTGCAGAAAACATCAGCTTCTGTTCCGAGGTCAGCTCCAGAACGAAGCTCAGGACGAAGCCCAGGACAAAGCCCAGGACGAAGCCCGGTACAAATCCCAGTACACACACAATATACAGTGCACACACACACGTATTGTCCCTTGCGTGACGTGCGTATCTTCCCATTTTTGCATTTGTTTCATAATTACAGTATAAAAGATTAAATGCTGCAGTGATGACTTCCTGGATGTCTCTGCTGTTCGTGCCTAGTGTTTGTTCACAGTTGATATTTTCCATAAGGAGATGATAAAGACTATAATCTAATTTAATCTGAATCACGAGTTTACTTTGGCTGATATCTTCATAATCCTGTCTAACCATGGAGCAGAAGGACGTGGACACATGTTTTCACTGACGTCTGCATTATTGGGACAGAGATGAGATCCACAGACAGCTCCAGGTCCTCGGAGAGCAAGGTTTATTGTCTGTGGGAGATTCCAAGTGTCCGCCTTATAAATGGCATAAAGCAAATATGAAGAAAAGTTTTAGTAGTAGTTTATGATCACTGTGTCTGGAGTGAATGAATAATGACATGTAAGGCGTCTTTGAGTGTCCAAAAAAGTACTATATAAAATTGATGTATTATTATTATTAGTGTTAGGCAAGTTACTTTGACAATGTTATGCATAAAAAAGTTAAGTTACCTACTAGTAATTAAGTTACATTACTTTTGGATTACTTTGTGTTTCAAAAAAGAAAAAAGTAATTTAAAGGTAAACTACAAATAAGTTGTTGAAAACTGGCTCAAATGGCATAAAATAATCATAAAAAGTACATCAGTATAATTCTGTAGCAAAACTGTAGCACTTCTCCAGATGGTTTAAAAACATTTTTCTGTCAGTTTGAATGTTGCATAATGTTTCTGAAGACAGCGGCACTACAGTAGCAATGGGCAGCATCTCAAATACAAGTACATTTATTTCAGTCTTTGACGTTACCCGACAACGTAATTCAAGTTGAGGTTGCTTATTTATTTACTCAAGGATAGCCCCATTGAGATAAACTGTCTCTTTTTCAAGGGAGTCCTTCGAACTAATGCCCTTGAGCTTATACCATGTTGGTGTTGTGCCGTCTGAGGCGGCGACGCATGTTAGTGACTAGCTTAATAGTTAAGTGCTGATGTTTTAAAAAAAGTATGAGGATGAGTTGTCTGTTGCTGTTGTCAAATTCCTTTTCTTGCTTTTTTCTAGCAGTACATTTTACTGCAGTACAGTGTTCATGGTTTTACACTGATCCAGAGCAGAGTACCCGGCCCGAACCTAGCAGATCAAGCGTAAATCCACTGCATTTAAAAGAAAATGCTTTAAAGCATTCAGAATTTCACTCTCAAGCAGAGCAGACAAAATGGTTCGAACAAGCAGACTCTGCATACATCAACCAGAGGCAGCTCATCACAAGCGGCTTTTCGAACTAACTTTTTGAATTATGTATTTGTTTGTTTGTATAGATGGATGTGTTTTTGCTGCTGGAACTGAATTTCTCCCCTTGTACCATCCTCAGGTTCAAATTGACCTGACACAGTGATTAAAAAATACCCTAGTGATTTTTCCTAACTTGCCTCTGTCTGACCTTGACAGAGGCTGATCAAGGTCAGACAAAGCAGTGTGTGTGAATGTATCACAGATGCCACAGTTGCCCTGGGACAGAACAGAGTGTGGCTGTAGCACAGGATCAGACTTGGCAAATTCACAGAAGCCTGAGCCAAAGTCGTGATAATATTCACTCATTGTTAAAATAGATTGGTTTTACAAGTCTGAGCGGATCCCTCCTCCAGGTCTGGAACGTGATGAATCCTTTAGATCTGAAAGTGTGGGACGTGGTCT